ATATCCTTGCTGATGCTTCCGAAATGTGAGCAAAGCTTCGGGAAAAAAGCCCTTAGAGTTACGGGGGCATGAAGGTTCATGCTGCAGGTGCTCGGAATCAGGTCTCTAACTCTATGGGCTAGATGTTACCTATGCACTGCCTAAACCCTTGTTTGTATTTGGCTTGCAACACCACGCCAGGACGGCTGTCGCTTTCGCCGCTGCTCTCGTGACAGCATAAACGCATATGCTGCAACGACCCGCACACGAACGATGCACGAACCCAAACACCGACAAATACACTGACGACTAAACCACTGGCCAGACACAACAGACAGACGGACGGACGGACAAACAGACAAACAGACAGACATGTGTGTATACATATATATATATGTATATGTATACACATCTGTGTGTGTGTGTGTGCATGTACGCGCATCGGTATGTGCGTATGTATGTATGTATCTGTATATATACACGTGTATATGCATATGTGTATGTGTATATGTATATGTTCATGGATATGTATATGCAAATGTAGATGTGGGTGCATGCTTACATGCATGCATGCATGAATGGATGGATGTCATACTCTTGCATTATTCGTGATACTCTTGGAAAAGAACGTGCATGTCATTTGGACCACCGCACGAATCGGGTTGAGGTTTTGCACTGCCTACAACAATCGTGAGTCCATGCGTTATCGTCACTGATCTCGTTTGATCCGATCTCTCCCTTGTGCACGTATCCGTCGCTATCAAGAGGCAGCCAACCCATTTAATGGGGCTTATACTTGATGCAAGTGCTGTCACAGCCAGCACCCGCCCGAATCACCCCAGGTCACGACGGATCCATCACCAAGAATGGCAGCAAAAGCCTTTTCAGAGGCTTGGACATGCTTCACATCCTTCAGCTGATGCTGCACGGCCCTGCTGTCACCGCCAGCGACCATATCACCCCAGGTCACTACGGATCCGTCACCAAGAATGGCAGCAAAAGCGTACTGAGAGGCTTGGACCTGCTGCACAGTCTTCAGCTGATGCTGCACCGCACTACTGTCGCCGCCACCGCTAGCGGGACCCCAGGTCACAACAGTTCCATCACCAAGAATGGCAGCAAAAGCACTGCCGGAAGCTTGGATTTGGTGCACATTCTTGAGATGAGCCTGCACAGCAGTACTGTCACCAGCACAGCAGGGAGAGCCCCACGTAGAAACGGATCCGTCCCTAAGAATGGCAGCAAACGCCTTTTCAGAGGCTTGGACATGCTTCACATCCTTCAGCTGATGCTGCACGGCCCTGCTGTCACCGCCGGCGCCCATGTCACCCCAGGTCACTACGGATCCGTCACCAAGAATGGCAGCGAAAGCGGACTGAGAGGCTTGGACCTGCTGCACAGTCCTCAGCCGATGCTGCACGGCACTACTGTCGCCGCCACCGCTAGCGGGACCCCAGGTCACGACCGTTCCATCACCAAGAATGGCAGCAAATGCACTGCCGGAGGCTTGGATACGCTGCACATGTTTCAGTTGTGCCCGCACAGCACTACTGTCACCTCCACAGCAGCCAGGACCCCACGTCGCGACACATCCGTCTCCAAGAATGGCAGCAAAAGCCTTCTGAGAGGCTTGAATCTGTGACACGTGTTTCAGCTGAGCCTGTACTGCACTGCTGTCTCCACCAGACCAAGAAGCCCCCCACGTCACGACGGAACCATCGCCAAGAATAGCAGCAAAAGCACCACTCGAGGCTTGCATCTGCTGCACAGTCTTCAGCTGATGCTGCACAGACCTGCTGTCACCACCAGCGCCCGATTCACCCCAGGTCACGACGGATCCATCACCAAGAATGGCAGCAAAAGCGCCACTGGCGCCTTGGATCTGCTGCACATCGTGCAGCTGATTCTGCACTGAACTGTTGTCACCACCACGAAAAGCAGGACCCCTGCTCACAACGCATCCGTCGCCTAAAATGGCAGCAAAAGCGCCGCTGGCGCAAATGCCTCTGCAGGCTTGGATTTCCGGTCTGCGCATAATGTGCAAAGTCAAAGAGTCACCATTCTGAAGTTCGGTTTGCGTGATCGTTAAGCGTGCATCCAGAATGCTTCCAGTTGGGTGCACCAACCGCCCTTTTCCGACGCCAAGTGATGTCTGTGCTCGCAGGCTTAGGGATCGCACCTCTTCTTCCAAGTATGCTTTGACAGTAGCTGTCCTTCCGCTGAGCAGTCCAACTTCTACCGATATCGACATGCTGCAAGTCGGAACCAGATAACTCTTTCATCATGGGTTTACACTACGAGCTATGCGGTATGGGATACAGTAGGCGCCCCTAGCTCAGTTGCAAGGTTCTGGGGTGGAAGCAAAGCTTTGTAACTTGCTGGTGCACGTTTTTCGACAAGGTCAAAGGCTCCTAGGTCCTAGGTGATGAGACTTTGGAAACCCGCCCGCTTGAGTCCTAAACCCGAGGGTTTGGGGTTCAATGTTTAGGTCAAGCAACAATGAAGTGCCGAGCCTTGCTTCGGGGCGATCTATGTGAGAACTGAGCTATGTTCTGTTCCAACGGGACAAAGAGCCCCTGGATGCAAACACACCTACAGCCACAGGAACTAACTCAGGTCATGCGGAACACAGCAGAACGACCACGGAGACTCGGGGTGATGATGATGAACCGTTTGATCTAATGTAAAAGCCTAAATAACTAGTTCGGCGTTTTGAGAGACATTCCAGTATGACCGCACTAACGAACCCGATGAATACTATTGCTGATTATTCACCCCCCCATATTAGGGATTTCGGTGCTTCGCGGTACACCAGCCACTCCAACACCGACACCCGACCTGGACCCTCACCTGCGCTTTAAAAGGATCCTAAATAAAGGGTAGTTGGGGGGTCTAGGGTAAGGGCACCCTTGAATGAACTTTAAGTAGTACCTTTTAGTACCCTTTGACGGAACCCTTCAAAAATCCCTATACTTTAGACTCTAAATTCCTATCGTAGTAACTGAAATCATAAACTCCCCAACCCCTAAACCATTATAGAACCCGTGTAGATCCCAACTGAAATCCCATTACAAGAACCCCAAGGGTCCCTTTAAGGGATCCTTTGAGGGGTCCCTTGAAGGGTCCTTTGAGGGATCCCTGGCAATCCCTAGGAATTTCTAGGCATTCCTTAAAATACGGTTGATGATATAAATCCTGCATCACCTTAAGGACCCAAAACTATGGGAATTATGGTATATTCCTTATTATGGGTCATGCAGGATTTATATCATCAACAGTAGGAGCCTCCTCTCTTCCCAAGACGGCCAGCAAAGCCCCTGCTGCAGCCGGAGGCGGTCGGGCCGCCAAGGCCTCGGTTTCAGCGGGGGCTTAGGGGTCCCTTTAAAGGGATCCTAGAAGGGTCCTCCCTTTAGAGGGATCTATAGGGATCCCTTTAAAGGGATCTATAGGGTTCCTTCAAAGGGATCTATGTATAGGGTTTTAGGGCTGAGGGGTTTTAGGGTTTAGGGGGTATAGGGTTCAGGGCTTTAGGGTTCGCTTCGGCTTCTTCAACAGGAAATGGTGTGGGGGTTTGGGTTTAGGGTCTGTCGGATGTGTTTAGGTTATGCTCGTTTGACGGTGCACCTTGCTTTTCCCGAAAGCTGACATTTTCGCTGTACGGGTTTCGCGGACCTAAAACCTAAGCCTAAGCCCTAACATCCTACACAGCTAAAACCTTTATATCCAAAGGTTTTAGCTTAGTGCGATGAGTATAATTTTTGTAAGCCTACACAGCAGTAAGCTTCTGTAGACAAAACAGGCGTGGCTTGCGGTTTCTGGTCACTCCATGAACGCAAGAATTCTGAGCATTTCTTTGTAGAAACCACAGAAAAATACGACGCCCCTGAAACTGAGCAACCAAACTTAACTTCAGGTTCGGTTTTTGGGCTTTGGGCTTTACTAAACCCTTTTCAGCACGGACTGAGGTGCCGGCGCTGACCTAAACCCTGAACCCTTTACTATTTCCGGTGTAAGGATTTTTGTAATTCTCATCCTTAGAGCGCTGTTGTTCCGCAACCCCAGAGACTCCAATATCCCTTAATTAAGGAATATTCCTTAAATCATATTAGGGATCCTACTATAATCTAAGGAATAGTCCTTAATTAAGGGATATTAGAGTCTCTGGGACCAGGGCAGAGGGCTGCAAAGCAAAAGTCCCTTAACCCCTAATGTAACTAGAGATACCATTAAAGGAAGGAACCCCTTGAAGGAACCCCTTATGGGATTCCCTTGAAAGGTAGTGTAGGACCCTGATTAAGAAACCTTGGGCCTTTATTGAGTTTCTTATACGAATCCTACTATGTTGGGGGTTATATGCCCAGGGTTTCTTAATCAGGTCCTACAGAACTGAGTTGTCCTTTAAGCCCTGTGAAAATTATTTACTATTATGGTTCTCTACAAAATAGTAGGGGAACTTAAAAAAGATCCCAAAGGACAACCCAGAGAAAGATTCCAGGGTGAGCCCCTGGTGGCCTTCAGGATTCGTGTTGTGGATGCTTCTGCAGGACCCTCAGGCTCCACGTGCCTGTATACATAGTTTATGCTTAAGCCTTTCAAGGTACGAAAAGCTAGTGAGGTTACGAAATGAAGTCAGAACTATATACTATATAGCCTTCGGGACAAGGATTATTTGACGACGAGGACTGCTTTGAGTGGCAAGGCATCTTGTCTGTAGGCTAAGATTCGAGAGGAACCCAAAAGTTTCCAATGTCGAAAATGCAATAGCAATGCAGGCGGCAAAGGGCCGCTATGTAGTATGAAACTCAAGGCACGGAAGTTTGAAGAATCTCATAGAATCGTGCAGACCCCGACTATGCAAGGACCTTGTGGACGCAAGTGCCCAGCCGTAGACCAAAGTACAGGCGTGGGTGCGGAGGTGTTGTGAGTTCCGCACAGCTGAGCCAGCAATTTCATCTCGGGTTCTCCGTCATCTCTGCACTAAGCATGCACTGCGAATTTCATGTGCAAACTGCTCCAACGAATTACTTCTTAAAAGCTATGGAAGGCTGCTGTGAACCCCACCTCTTGAACTGCGAGTCAGTCGCGCCCAACAGGTAGGAGCATTGCTCAAGTTGGTCCGCTCGCTTGAGCAGGCTCAATCTGTGTATCAGTCGGTCATAGGCATGAGTGAGGACTTTAGGTTTGCGCGACAGGAAGTTTGCCAGGTCCTCTCTTGAGAAGTATCGCCGAAACAGCTTCAGTTTCAGATCCAGGTTCTTCACGGCGAGGGTTAGGACTGAAGGACTCTGTGCGATCACCTCGGCTGTCTTCAAGACCGACACAACTCTCCGTGCTTCTTGCTGCCGGTGGTTAGGACAGTCGCAAGCATCGTAGCCAACATGGGGCACGGAAGGTGTGAGTTGCGTCGGTGTCGGGGGCGGTGGCGGTGGTGGTGATGGTGGCTGTGGTGCTGGTGGGGGTGGCGGTGGTGGCGGTTGCGGTGGTGGTTGTAGCGTTGGGCTGGTCGTGGTGGTGGTAGTCGTAGTGGTAGTGTGGTAGAGGTAGTGGTGGTAGTAACGGTATGGTCGTAGAAGCAGCCGTCAGAGTACTAGCACACCTAGTTGCCTAGCAACGCGGACTTCAGAAACCTTTGGAATTAGTGAAAGGCCAGGAACTCGCACGGCTTCCGTCCGGTTGCAGCCAGCCTTGCACACGCATCGCACAGTCTCGTCAAGCCGCTCTTCACGGAGACCTGTGTCGAAAATCTCCGCTCCCATAGCCCGGTTGGCATGGGCAGGGTTCCCACTACTATGGGAAATCAACCACCTGTTACGTATCCCATCCTAAATCCCCAAAGGCCTGAAGCCTGAAGCCGTTGAGCATTAGTAGCCTTAGCCCTCCAATGGGCTCCAAATGGCGCCAATTACCAAACCTAGAGGGTCCAAGTACGCAAATGGTACGTAGGGTTTCAGGTCCCCAAATCCATACTCTGAAAGGTTTTTGGAACTTCCAACCCTACTATTTGGGTACTTGGACCCTTAGGGAAAAGGTGTAGAGCATTTGTTACACAACCGGGGCTCCCAGGCATGACGTGTTTAAGGGTTAAGCTCTGCAGTAGAAGCCAGAATGTTGGAATATCATTATCGTAACCCCTTTAAGGTAAATTATAGGGGATCCTACAATTAATCCACATTCCAACTTTCTGGAGTTCCCTTTAGGATTAAGGGCTTTACAGGGCCTCTCGCAGAATCACATAGAAAAAACCATATAAGATTCGATGGTGCTGCAGGGGCTTTGGGGCTGTGAGGATCTGTGATTCTTGAGATTTAGAGGCCAGGGGCTTCAAGGCTATCGAGGAGTCCTTTTTTGTTTCGGGGGGTTCAAAGCTTTTACGGACAAGGGGCACGGCAGTAATACAAAGGCTACACTGAGAACGTGATCGACCTTCTCCGTGCCGGGCGTCGCAAGTCGATTGTCCTAGGTCCATCAAGCCTGAAAGCCCCGTGACACTTCATACCTGTATCCCCAAACCATAGTACATTATGACCCCTTAATTCGAGGTCAGAAGCCTTCAAACGGTAGGTTTTCGCATCCCAAGTTAAACATCCTGTGACCTTCGATGTAAAGCGGAATCGAGATGAGCATGTAAGCCTTCTTAGCCACATCAATTCCTCGTAAACGAACCTACATTGCAGACTGTTCAGAAGATCCAGTTCCAGATCCTTAACATCAACAAGGGTGGGCTGGTGACAAGTTCTGGGAAGGATACTGTAAGCCCCAACCGCAAGCTTTAAAGCCTCAGCAAAGCCGCGAACCCTAAAATGTGGTTCCGGGCGCGTAGCTTTATCTTACCAGAAGGAAGGTGGGCTGAATCTTGTGGGACACCGCAAGATCAAGATCAAGACTCCATCACTTCAAGCCCGTGCAACAGCCGAGTACTGTCCTTGCGTCTTTGTTTGCACCCCTCATGTCATCCAAATCAGCTTTACTCGTGTCTCCACGCAGAGTTGTTTGGTGGACCGCCGACCCTTCCTGCTAAACAAACTCATTATTCGGTTGAAGTGCTACTTTAGAAGCTGGCGCACAGGATCTTTCCCTGAAGCTCAAGGCCTTAATGCCTTGGTTCAGCCGCATGTATAACACCACGATGCAACTGCGTGCAAGATCCACAGTATGACTTGGAGCATGAATGTCAAGCCTACGCTTTAGCATACCGAACGACGATGTATCCCAGAATCGTCCAGATGAACATCCAAACAACCTAAACAGATCAGGCTCTCAATGCTTGTTGTTTGGAAACATAAGCCATAAACCCAAAGCCCTGCATCCTAAACCCCAAACCCTGAACCCTAAACCCTAACCCTGAACCCTAATTAGACCTAAAGCCCCCAGCACCAGACGCAACCCCAGACCCCCCTGAACTCAGACTCTACCCTAAGGCTCCATGTACCCATATACGTAGTATATACTCAGGGCCTTAAAGTACCTTTATATAGGGACCCCTTAAAGGCTTAAGTATCTGCTATAAAGGTACATGGAGCGCAATGACTCCCGTCGAAACTCCCTTCAACACCAACAAAACTGACACCGACAACAAGTACTTCCCAAATAAGACACAAAAATGAAAGGTTAAACTGTCCGATTCCTGCTAAACTACCAGAAGCCAAAACGTTTGAAGGTTGGGTGTATTGGGGATCTAAACAACCTGAATTGAACCAAGAACACCTAGAACTTAGGACCCAAACCCTAAACAACTTAAGCCAAAAACTAGAGGTCCCTGCCTAGGACGGTGGGGGCAGCTCGAATCAGCCGGCCCGTCTCATCATCGTCGAGGCCTTGGGTTTTCCCCAGCGGGTTGTAGGGTTTTGTTTAGAGTTTCGGGCTTTTGGGTTCAAGGTTACGGCTGAGGGCTTTGAGGGTTGTTGTAAATGTTGCCCTGAGGATTCCTTTGAGGATTTCTTTACAGAGTGCTTCAAGGATTCTATAGCGGTTCTTCGCCTAACGGTGTGGAGTTTAGGGTCAATCATTCCTGAACCAAATTCCATCGGAGGGCTCGACTACACGGCTGCTACACACTGTCCTTGTCGAGTGTTTTGGAAGCGGTGTTTGGGACTTTCCAGGGCACAGGAACTTGGGTTGCTACATTCATAAATACAGAACCGAAAGCAAACACGTGAACGTGAAGTTTGAGCTGCACATGCATTCAACAAAAGGTCCATGTGGTTTTTTCAAAGAGGCTTACACGTTCCCTTTAAGGTTTAAGGTTTACGGATCGCAGTTCGCCGGTAGTAACATTCTTATGGCTGCTTTTGTGTTTTTGATGGTCGCCTCGTGCTACCCCTGAGTACCCAAAGACTCCAAACGCCCTTAATTACGGAATGTATTAAATCATAGTAGGATCGCTCGTATGGTTTAAGATAAGTTATATGCGATAATTGAGGGGTATAAGAGTCACTGGCTAAAGATCCTCAAGCCGCAAGCAGCCGAGCTTAGTGTTTAGGACGCCGCAATATTACGAGACCGGCAAGTATGGCTGTTGGCCAACATGCTGGGCTGCACTTTGCTTTCAACAAGCAGATTGCCGTTTCTATCTGGGACAGTTCCTAATGGGTCTGGAATTAGTTTGTGATTTTTTTTTTTTTTTTGGCATTTTTTTTTTTTGTGGTTTGCTTGGCCGTGTTGCATTGCCTTGCAGGGCACCGAAGATCGTGGGGGTTCCTTTCTGAGCCTGCAGATTTACAGCTGAGGGTTTGGTGCGTTGGGATTGGGTTTTAAACTCAGGGCTTTGAAATCGAACCTGTGTATGGTGCTGCGTGCTCAGTTCTGATACCATGGATTGCTCCTACGTTTGCTTCTCATGTTGCTATTGCTGCCCCTGTCGTGTTAAGTCTTGTGGCCCCTGTCAGCACCCTAAGCCGAAACCCTAAACTTAAACCCTAAACTCTTTGCACTAAACCCTACACCCCATACCCTAAACCCTGAACCCCAAACCCAAACATTTTCCGCGCCCACTCTAGGCCCACAGAACAAGTCCTACATCCGAAAACCTCAAATGCCGCCTAGCTCTAAACCCAACAAGACCCCTAGTAGTAGAAGTAGTAGTAGTAGTTGTTGTAGTTGTAGCACCAGTCGCAGTAGCAGTCGCAGTAGCAGTAGTAGTAGTAGTAGTAGTAGTAGTAGTAGTAGTAGTAGTAGTAGTAGTAGTAGTAGTGGTAGTACTAGTAGTAGCAGTAGTAGTAGTAGTAGTAGTAGCACTAGTAGTAGTAGTAGTAGTAGTAGTAGTAGTAGTAGTAGTAGAAGTAGTAGTAGTAATAGTAGTAGTCGTAGTAATGGCAATAGCAACAGCAACAGTAAGAGTAATAGTAGCAGTGAAAGTAAAAGTAGTAGCAATCAGCAATAACAACAGCAACAGCAATAGCAACAGCAAGAGCAATAGTAATAGTAATAGCAATAGCAAAAGCGATAGCAATAGTAATATAGCAATAGCAATCGCAATAGGAAGAGTAAAAGTAATAGTAATAGTTGTCGAAAATAGGGGACCCTCATAGTACCCATAAAATAGTAGGATCCTTATTGCGAGGCGCCCAAAATAAGGTACCCCTAATGCCCTCATTTGCTGGGTTTCAAAAAAAGGCATATGAATCAAAGCAACCCTGCACGGCTTAAAACAGCCGGGGGGTTGGGGGGGGCGCAGCCCCCCCCATTTGCAGAGACAACGTTCACATGATGGGCTTCGAAAACACTCTTTGAATCAAGCTTGCACGTCTCGAAAAGCGCGGCGGCGGGTGTTTTGTTCTTCCGTGCCTGTTCGTGTCTCTTCTTCCGTTAGCATTCTAACCTAATATATATATATACATAGTAAACCAGAAGAACGACATAAGATGGTTCGACAACACAAAAATGGTGTGACATTTTCTGACATAACAGAACCTTGCTTCTTATAGCATATAATAGCATACTAAAAATACAACAATACAATATAACAGAAGATGACATAGAACAAAACAACATCTTAGTTTATAGTGTAGTACATTGTAACATAGTACAGTACAGTGTGTATATTTACAACATAATATGTAGTATATTTTATAGGTTACATTTACATTATGTTATATTATGTTACGGTACATTACGATATTATGGTAAATTCGATTGGGCTATGTAGTATCCTGTTGCTTGTATCTTTGTTTCTGTGATTTTTTCATATTCTTTCTCTTTCGTATTTTCCAACTTTGCTTTTTTATTCTGGACTTCTTTCTTTCTTTCGCTCGTTCATTTATTTTCTTTCTTTCTGTTGTTCTTTCTTTGTTCATCTCATACTCCCTTCCTTTCTTTCTTGCTTTCCTTTCTGGTTTGATTTATTTCGTTCTTTCTTTGGTTCGTTCTTTCTTTCGTTCTTGCTTTCGTTCTTTCTTTCGTTTTTGCTTTCGTTCTTTCGTTCTCTCTCTCGTTCTATCTTTCTTTCTTTCTGTTTTCCTTGTTTTCGTCCTCTTTAGATACAGCAATTTTTGAATTTTTCCCAGGGGAAACACTGTTTTCATACGGATTCGTTTTCATTTCCTGAGGATTTGCTTGGTTTTTGGTTCGGGAAAACACGATTTTCCTACGGATTCCGTTGTATTTCCTTAAGTTTCTTTCTTTAGTTCTTGCTTTCGTTCTTTCGATCTCTCTCTCGTTTTTTCTTTCTTTCTGTCTTTCTTTCTTGCTTTTTAGATACAGCAATTCTTGAATTTTTCCAAGGGAAACACTGCTTTCCTAGGGATTTTCTTTCGTTTCCTAAGGATTTGCTTGGTTTTTCTTGGGGAAAACACGATTTTCCTACGGATCCCGTGGTATTTCTCTAAGTTGTCAACTCTCTTTGGTTCTTTCCTTGTGTTTTCTTTTTTCTTTCCTTGTAGCTTTCTTTCTTTACTTAGTTCTCTATTTTTGTTTTCTTTCTTTACTTATAGCTTTCTTTATTTACTTATTTCTCTGTTTCTTGCATGGCTTTCTTTCTTTCGTTGTTTCTTTATTTCTTTCTTTTGTTATTTCTTTCTTTCGTTGTTTCTTTATTTCTTTATTTCGTTCTTTCTTTCTTCCTTGCTTTCTTTCTTCCTTCCTTTCTTTCTTTCGTTCTTTCTTTCTTTCCTTCTCTCTCTCTCTCTGTCTTTCGTTCCTTTTTCCCCTTCCTTTCGCGGATACCCGTTTAATTTTTTTGATCCTTATTTATTTTGTTTGATCCGTATTTAATTTTTTTTAACTTCTATCCCGCTTTACTGACCTAAATTCGCCTCGGCTCGGCTTAGGGTTGAGGGCGTGACTTAAGGACTGATTTATGAGGCTCTCTATGGCGGAGGGGTTTCTTTTTTTCAAAGGTGCGGCCAACCCTTTTTTTTCTCCTAGGTGCGGCCAAGGATCTGTTCAGGTTCGACACGCAGGATCCCTGTGAAGGGTTCATCGGGGACATAGAAAATTTGCACCGCGCCACAGCGCCAGCGCTTCGACACGCAGGATCCCTGTGGAGGGTTCATCGGGGACGTAGAAACTTTGCACCGCACCACAGCGCCAGCGCTTCGACACGCAGGATCCCTGTGAATGGTTCATCGGGGACATACAAAATTTGCGCCGCGCCACAGCGCCAGCGCTTCGACACGCAGGATCCCTGTGGAGGGTTCATCGGGGACGTAGAAAATTTGCACCGCACCACAGGGCCAGCGCTTCGACACGCAGGATCCCTGTGGAAGCTTCATCGGGGACGTTGAAAATTTGCACCGCGCCACAGCGCCGGCGCTTCGACACGCAGTATCCCTGTGGAAGCTTCATCGGGGACCTCCCCCCTTTGCAAACCTTTTAAATCCTTCACGATTGATTGTGTTTTCTTCGCATCAAACCACCCTGATGCGTTGTTGTCTGGACTTCTCCTTCTTGTGTTTTGGCGAATACGTTTTTGTGCATCTTTCGTGCCTTTAGTGAGCGGGGAGTTTAGTCTAAAAAAGCGGGGTTGGGGGGGGCGCAGCCCCCCCCATTTGTAAACCTTTTAAACCCTTCACGATTGATTGTGTTTACTTCGCATTAAACCACCCTGACGGTTTGTTGTATTTACAAACCCTTTAAACCCTTCACGACTGACTGTGTTTTCTTCGCATTAAACCACCCTGACGCGTTGTTGTCTGGCTTTCTCCTTCTTCTGTGTTGGCGAATACGTTTTTGTGCATCTCTTCGTGCCAGTGAGCGGGGAGTTTAGCCAAAAAAAAAGCGGGGGGGCTTGGGGGGGCGCAGCCTGCAAACCTTTTAAACCCTTCACGATTGATTGTGTTTACTTCGCATTAAACCACCCTGGCGCGTTCTTGTCTGGCTTTCTTCTTCTTGTGTTTTGGCGAATACGTTTTTGTGCATTTCTTCGCGGCTTTTTAGTGAGCGGGGAGTTTAGCCTAAACAAAGCGGGGGGGTTGGGGGGGGCGCAGCCACCCCCCCAGTTGCAAACCTTTTAAATCCTTCACGATTGATTGTGTTTTCTTCGCATCAAACCACCCTGACGCGTTGTTGTCTGGACTTCTCCTTCTTGTGTTTTGGCGAATACGTTTTTGTGCATCTCTTCGTGCCTTTAGTGAGCGGGGAGTTTAGTCTAAAAAAAGCGGGGGGGTTGGGGGGGGCGCAGCCCCCCCCATTTCCAAACCTTTTAAACCCTTCACGATTGATTGTGTTTACTTCGCATTCAACCACCCTGACGCTTTTTTGTATTTACAAACCCTTTAAACCCCTCACGACTGATTGTGTTGTCTTCGCATTAAACCACCCTGACGCGTTGTTGTCTGGCTTTCTCCTTCTACTGTGTTGGCGAATACGTTTTTGTGCATCTCTTCGTGCTAGTGAGCGGGGAGTTTAGTCTAAAAAAAGCGGGGGGGTTGGGGGGGGCGCAGCCTGCAAACCTTTTAAACCCTTCACGATTGATTGTGTTTACTTCGCATTAAACCACCCTGACGCGTTGTTGTCTGGCTTTCTTCTTCTTGTGCTTTGGCGATTACGTTTTTGTGCATCTCTTCGCGGCTTTTTAGTGAGCGGGAAGTTTAGTCTAAAAAATGCGGGGGGGTTGGCTCCCCCCATTTGCAAACCTTTTAAACCCTTCACGATTGATTGTGTTTACTTCGCATTAAGCCACCCTGACGCTTTGTTGTATTTAACCACCCTGACGCGTTGTTGTCTGGCTTTCTCCTTCTTCTGTGTTGGCGAATACGTTTTTGTGCATCTCTTCGTGCCAGTGAGCGGGGAGTTTAGCCAAAAAAAAGCGGGGGGGCTTGGGGGGGCGCAGCCTGGAAACCTTTTAAACCCTTCACGATTGATTGTGTTTACTTCGCATTAAACCACCCTGACGCGTTCTTGTCTGGCTTTCTTCTTCTTGTGCTTTGGCGAATACGTTTTTGTGCATCTCTTCGCGGCTTTTTAGTGAGCGGGGAGTTTAGCCTAAACAAAGCGGGGGGGTTGGGGGGGCGCAGCCACCCCCCAGTTGCAAACCTTTTATATAAATCCTTCACGATTGATTGTGTTTTCCTCGCATCAAACCACCTTGACGCGTTGTTGTCTGGACTTCTTCTTCTTCTTGTGTTTTGGCGAATACGTTTTTGTGCATCTCTTCGTGCCTTTAGTGAGCGGGGAGTTTAGTCTAAAAAAAGCGGGGGGGTTGGGGGGGGCGCAGCCCCCCCCCATTTGCAAACCTTTTAAACCCTTCACGATTGATTGTGTTTACTTCGCATTAAACCACCCTGACGCTTTGTTGTATTTACAAACCCTTTCAACCCTTCACGACTGATTGTGTTTTCTTCGCATTAATCCATCCTGACGCTTTGTTGTCTGGCTTTCTCATTCTTCTGTGTTGGCGAATACGTTTTTGTGCATCTCTTCGTGCCAGTGAGCGGGGAGTTTAGTCTAAAAAAAGTGGGGGGGCTGGGGGGGCGCAGCCTGCAAACCTTTTAAACCCTTCACGATTGATTGTGTTTACTTCGCATTAATCCACCCTGACGCGTTGTTGTCTGGCTTTCTTCTTCTTGTGCTTTGGCGAATGTATTCCTTGTCTGCGTTCTTGTTGCTGTTACGGGACCGAGGGACCGGCGGACCGGAGACCACGGGACCAGGAGACCACGGGACCAGAGGACCAGCAGACCAGAGGACCAGAGGACCAGGGGACTACAGGACCAGAAGAGCAGACGACCAAGGGACCGCAGGACCAAGGACTAGAGGACCAGCAGACCAGAGGACCAAGGACCAAGGGACCACAGGACCAAGGACCAGGGGACCGCCTGCACCAGGGACCCTTGGCCGCACCTCGCAAACAAGGGTTGGCCGCACCTTTGAAAAAAAAAAACCTGGCCCGCTCTCTATGCCGAAGAAAAAAGCCAAGAAGCCGAAAAGCCAAGAAGCCAGAAGCCAAGAAGCCAGGGAAGCCGAGAAGCCAAGCCAAGCGCGCACACAAGCCAAAACAAAAAAAAAATGAAAAAAAAAAAACATAAAAAATACCAAAATAAATACGCCTCCGTTCCTAATTGTTCTGAAATCTACGATCCTTACCCGAACGACCTGGTCTGCCGACCCAAAAAACCTAAACTGCCCTGACGGACCCCTACACCCATTTCGGTTTTTTCATCGAGGCACCTACTGCCTCACACCAGTCCACGACAGACTTGATCCTCTGGGAGCTTATGCCCAGAATACGCGGAAAGCCGGCAATAAGCTTTCCTGGGTTGTCTTGAAGGCCTCCCAAAAGTATTTATGCAAACTTACGTCTGGAGGACAAAATGAACAAGTTTCCCAAAGCTTCACCTAGTATCCCACGTCCTCATCGCTCATGCCCAGCTCTGCAAAGGTTTCCTTGGGTTGCTTTCACGTTGGCGGCATGGGGCTCAAATGTTAATGGCTTCGGTGCAGCACAGTCGCACACTCCCTTACTTAAGATGCAAATACCACGGTGGCAAGTGTAATGAACATTTCCGGATGGTTCGCCGAAGCTTAGCTTAGCCCAATACGGAACACTACACCAGAAGCCCAGTCGACTCTTTCAGCACCTGAATCCCCGCGAGCCATAGGGTTTACCTGTAGGCTCACACCCTATCGGTTCTAGGGTATCTACTCTTCTCGACAACAGATCCGAAACAGAAAACCCGGTATCCTAAGCGAGTGGTAGGGTATGAGCCTCTAGGTAGGGTTTAGTGAACATGGAGACCAAATACATGATCCAAGGCTCGATTTTGGGCGGCAGGGTCACCTGAGCTTCCCAGGTCACCGTGCAACAGTACCAGGGGTTTTTCCTCAAAGCCACAAAAGAAAAATCATATACTGAACTCAGAACTTTCCTCATAGCCCAAAATATTTATAATATGCTGAAATCACAAATGATGAAGTTCCTATAATGTTATAACCAGGAGCCGGCGTAATGCCAAGGTCATTTGCAATATCTGCGATTAAGCTGAGTTTACATAAGTTTAGGGTTTAGGGTATTAGGGTTCAGAGAGGTTAGGGATCATGCCCATATCTTGCAGTGAACCACACAGACCCCTTCATTTCAGTAACCTTACATACACCTGTAGGGTCCAGTCGCTAGCGCATTACAAGACAAGACACAAACATCCTGTTGACACCTTGTGGAGAAGAAGTCAATTGGCCGTTGTACCAACAGTCTTGAACAATGGCCAAGAGTTACTAACACCTTCTTGCCATAAGCTGTTACCCTAGGCTTCCCGGACCGTATGAGAAGGTCCCTAGGCGGTCTAGGGCTAGGGCTCTCACTATAAGGTCCTTGGAAGCATATGGCTAAAACGGCCCAAGTCACTTCGCAGTTGTAGCTGAAGACCGCCGGGTAGCTTATGAAGACTTTGGCGATCTGCGCGGGGCTGAGACCTATCAGGATGCCGATCGTGGCTTGGAAGATAGTTAGAGGATCTATAAGGATTTCTACAGGGTTTCAACCGATAAGGGCACTAAAAGGGCTCTATAAGGGCACGCAAAGGATCAGGGCACCTAGTAACCAGGGTTAGACAAATGGTAGCAATACTTATGATTCATGATGTCATACAACCCCAGTTAAGACACTTATAACCCTAGCTGCTAAGTCCCATGACGGTCCAAGTGCCCTGAGACTCCAAAACACCTCAGCTAAGGCATGCCTCTTCTGGAGACCAACCTCCTCTTCTGTATGAACGCTGAACCCTAAACCCTAAGCCCTAAAAATATGAACTAAAGTCTGCTCCTTATCTTTACCTGTGGATCCAGAAACCTACCGTTTTAAGGGTTCTACCATCGAATGAAGGGGTCAGAACCTACTATTTTGCAGGCTTGGGGTCACAGGCAAGGGGTTCTGGAGCCTCTGGGCACACAGGTTAGATGAAGGCTTCATTGTTGGGAGAGTGCTGGTAAAGCTTTTCGAAAAAAGTGTTGAACGTGAAGGCATACTCTTGGTGCTACTTGTGTACTCTACTACAGATCAAACAGTATATCCCCTAAACCCTAGACCAAAACTATGGATGGTCCTATAGTATAGATCAAACAGTGTATCCCCGAAACTCTAAACCAGGCCCTCTAAACCCTAAAAGCCTTTTTGCGCAGACTTGTATATGCCCTAAAAACCTAATTAAACCCTATCTGTATCCCCAAACCCTACAAAATAGTAGGCTATGACCCCTTAACTAGAGGGTCTAACCCTAAAAAACGGTAGGTTTTTGGATCCACAGGTAAACCCGGAACCCTGAACCCCAAACCCTACAGATCCCTTTTTGGAACCCTTAAAGGAGCCTTGATAGATCCCCAGGTAGTACTGCTACAGTAAACCCTAAACCCTAAACCCCTAAACCCTAAACCCTATAGATCCCTTTTAAGGAACCCTATAGATCCCTTTAAGGAGCCCTACTTACTAAGTCCCCTGCCCTTCAAAGTGCCTGCTGCACTAAGGCCGGCTGCCCAGGGTTTCAGGCTCGCCTGGCTTCTATTAGGGCTTCTGGGGTTGTTTAGGGTTTAGGGTTTAGGGTTTAGGGTTTATTAGAGTTTCTAGGGTTTAGTAGAGCTTCTGGGGTTTATTAGGGCTTCTGGGGTTTATTAGGGTTTCTAGGGTTTATTAGAGTTTCTAGGGTTTATTAGAGTTTCTAGGGTTTATTAGGGCTTCTGGGGTTTATTAGGGCTTCTGGGGTTTATTAGGGCTTCTAGGGTTTATTAGAGTTTCTAGGGTTTGTTAGAGTTTCTAGGGTTTATTAAGGCTTCTGGGGTTTATTAGGGCTTCTGGGGTTTATTAGGGTTTCTAGGGTTTATTAGAGTTTCTAGGGTTTATTAGGGTTTCTAGGGTTTATTAGAGTTTCTAGGGTTTATTAGAGTTTCTAGGGTTTATTAGGGCTTCTGGGGTTTATTAGGGCTTCTGGGGTTTATTAGGGCTTCTAGGGTTTATTAGAGTTTCTAGGGTTTGTTAGAGTTTCTAGGGTTTATTAGGGCTTCTGGGGTTTATTAGGGCTTCTGGGGTTTATTAGGGTTTCTAGGGTTTATTAGAGTTTCTAGGGTTTATTAGGGTTTCTAGGGTTTATTAGAGTTTCTAGGGTCTATTAGAGTTTCTAGGGTTTATTAGGGCTTCTGGGGTTTATTAGGGCTTCTGGGGTTTATTAGGGCTTCGTCTAGGGTTTATTAGAGTTTCTAGGGTTTGTTAGAGCTTCTAGGGTTTATTAGGGCTTCTGGGGTTTATTAGGGCTTCTGGGGTTTATTAGGGTTTCTAGGGTTTATTAGAGTTTCTAGGGTTTATTAGGGTTTCTAGGGTTTATTAGAGTTTCTAGGGTTTATTAGAGTTTCTAGGGTTTATTAGGGCTTCTGGGGTTTATTAGGGCTTCTGGGGTTTATTAGGGCTTCTAGGGTTTATTAGAGTTTCTAGGGTTTGTTAGAGTTTCTAGGGTTTATTAGGGCTTCTGGGGTTTATTAGGGCTTCTGGGGTTTATTAGGGTTTCTAGGGTTTATTAGAGTTTCTAGGGTTTATTAGGGCTTCTAGGGTTTATTAGAGTTTCTAGGGTTTATTAGAGTTTATAGGGTTTATTAGGGCTTCTGGGGTTTATTAGGGCTTCTGGGGTTTATTAGGGCTTCTAGGGTTTATTAGAGTTTCTAGGGTTTGTTAGAGTTTCTAGGGTTTATTAGGGCTTCTGGGGTTTATTAGGGCTTCTGGGGTTTATTAGGGCTTCTGGAAGGGTTTGGGCTTCTGGACTTCAGATTTAGGGGTCTGGGGTTTAGGGGTTTAGGGTTTAGGGGTTTAGGGGTTTAGGGGTTTAGGGGTTTAGGGTTTAGGGGTTTAGGGTTTAGGGGTTAGGGTTTAGGGGTTTAGGGGTTTAGGGGTTAGGGTTTAGGGGTTTAGGGGTTTAGGGGTTAGGGTTTAGGGGTTTAGGGGTTTAGGGTTTCTGGATTTCAGATTTACCCAGGGGCTCCATAGTAGATCCTTTTTGGGATTACCTTATAGGATTCTATATATGGACCCCAAGAAGGAACTACTTTGGAGCCTTAGGGTAGGATCTATAAGTTGATTTAAGGGTTTGGGTTGAGGGCTTAGAGTTTAAATTTAGGAGTTTGGGGAAGTCGAGTTACCTATGAACCGAAAACATCTGCCTGTTAGGGATTCCATATAGGTTTCCGGAGGCTGCAGGAGGACTTAAGGTTTGGGGTTTGGGATGTGGCGTTTAGGGTTTAAAGATCACCCGGCTTGCAGGAGGGTTTGGGATCTGCTTGACCTGACGCTCGGCTCTCTTCCTCACGTCGAAACCCTGAAACGAGCACCGGCCCCAGCAAAGCCCAGTTCATAAGCAGAATACGGCATTTGGGTATGATGTACTATAAGATTGGGTTAGCTGGTGCTACGGAGGAGTGACTTGAAGCGAACACATTATCACTAAAGCCCTTGACCCAGAAACTGAATCATGAGCCACTAAAAAAGAGCTTACGGGTCATGTTGCTCTGTGACCCAGTAATTAGCCGGTTATTGGGGAAGTTGGAGCCTTCGTAGCCGCAACGACACAGACGGCTTGAATCCTTGAACTCTAGGGCGCAGTTTTAGGACTTGAAGAGGCAGCAAGCAACTCATCTCGAATTGCCAGTCTCTCCTACTACCCCCAATTGTGAAATCGCAATCTGCGGACACCGGTACGGCACAGGAACTTTTTCAACGAAGCAACCTTAGGTCAAGAAGATCCTGCTCCCAAGACCCGCAACAGTTCTTGCAGTGGTAAGTAGGACAGTACTATAGGGGGCTCAATAACTACCTATGCCATTTTGGGAAGGTTCCTTGCTATGTTCATGGACCCCAAAACCCTGTTCTAATTATTAAGGCCCCTATACATTATTAAGTACAGGTATGGGCTGCCGGGATTTCGCACGGACACCGTGTGAGGAAGCGAAACGCTTAAAACAAACGATCGTGTCTACATATAAACGCATAGTACGAACTCAAGTGAAACAAGCACAAACGGCTAGACGCAGACACACACAGGGACGGATAGCTCGGCATATACGCATACATGCGTGCAACAATAGAACCCTAAAGAATCCTTCAGTCATTCACTCATCAATTCGTTTCATTTCCATTTCATTGTGTTTCGTTTCGCTTCGACTCGAACCCTTTCGCTTCGTGTCACGTGATTCACCCAGCTTTGATTCATGAACTCGTTCATTAACTTCATTGTTTCGTTTCGTTCGTTCATTCATTCATTCATTCATTCATTTCATTTCATTCATTCATCTCATTTCATTCATTCATTCTTTCATTTCATTCATTCATTCATTTCAGTCATCCATTCATCCATTCATTCATTCATTCATTCATTCATTTCATTTCATTCATTCATCTCATTTCATTCATTCACTCTTTCATTTCATTTCATTCATTCATTCATTCTTTCATTTCATTCATTCATTCATTTCATTCAATTCATTCATTTCATTCATTTCATTCATTCATTCATTCATTCAATTCATTCATTCATTCATTCATTCCATTTCATTCATTCCATTTCATTCATTCCATTTCATTCATTCCGTTTCATTCATTCCATTTCATTCATTCCATTTCATTCATTCTATTTCATTCATTCCATTTCATTCATTCCATTTCATTCATTTCATTTCATTCATTCCATTTCATTCATTCCATTTCATTCATTCCATTTCATTCATTCCATTTCATTCATTCCATTTCATTCATTCCATTTCATTCATTCCATTTCATTCATTCCATTTCATTCATTCATTCCATTCATTCATTCATTCATTAATTCATTCATTCTTTCATTCATTCCATTCATTCATTCCATTCATTCATTCATTTCATTCATTCATTCATTCATTTATTCATTCATTCATTCATTCATTCGTTCATTCATTCATTCATTTCAGTCATCCATTCATCCATTCATTCATTCATTCATTTCATTTCATTCATTTCATTTCATTCATTCATTCATTCCATTCATTCATTCATTTCATTCATTCATTCATTTCATTCATTCCTTCCTTCCTTCCTTCCTTCATTCATTCATTTCATTCATTCATTCATTTCATTCATTCATTCATTCAGTCAGTCAGTCATTCATTCAGTCATTCACTCAGTCATTCATTCATTCATTCATTCATTTCATTCATTCATTCATTTCATTCATTCATTCATTTCATTCATTTCATTCATTTCATTCATTTCATTCATTTCATTCAATTCAATCATTTCATTCATTTCAATCATTTCATTCATTTCATTCATTTCATTCATTTCATTCATTTCATTCATTTCATTCATTCCATTCATTCCATTCATTCCATTCATTCCGTTCATTCCATTCATCCATCCATTCGTTCATTCCATTCCATTCATTCATTCATTCATTTCATTCATTTCATTCATTTCATTCCATTCATTCATTCATTCATTTCATTCATTCATTCATTTCATTCATTCATGCATTCATTCATGCATTCATTCATTCATTCTTTCTTTCTTTCTTTCTTTCATTCATTCATTCTTTCATTCATTCAATTCATTTCATTCCATTCATTCATTCATTCATTCATTCATTCATTCATACACATTCATTCATTCATTCATACACATTCATTCATTCATTCATTCTTTCATTCATTCTTTCATTCATGCATTCATGTATCATTCATTCCTTCCTGCAGACATGCACGCATGCATTCATTCATCCTTTCTTTAGTTCATCCTTTCCGTTCCTTTCCATGCATCAATCCATCAGTTATTCTTTCTTTGCACGCAGCTTACTCATTCGATCGTACTATTGCATTCTTTGCACAGCAGACACTGCAGTCCATTCCAGTCCAGCTCAATTCGTTTCATGGCATGACACTTATGGCTATTACTAATTATGGTGTTAAGTGGCCCTAAAGCGCTCTGTCCGGTAAATTTGTCAGGTCCGACTGTCTTCGATCAGGGAGTCACACTTTGCACCCACGGTATTTACAGCTTTGATCTTGGACTCAACCCCTGGGCTTAGGGCTTAGGCTTAGGGGTTCAGGGTTTACGGCGCACACCTAATAAAACCATGTCAGACCTTCGACGGAACTGCGAGACCTTTCAAGATCCAATTAACCCGAAGCCCAAAACTTCGCACTCGTAAGACTCTCAATGTCGCTGGGGCACCGAGAGGTTGTAGTCGAAGATCCGAGGGAAGCGGCTGATGATGCGCACGATGCTGGCTTGATCCAGACCCTGCTCCCTGGGCTGCATCTACGTCGTTGGCGCTGGGAGTTTAGAGCTGCTTCGTCGATTTGGGAGTTTCCGAAATTAGGGGTACCTTTTTTAGGGGTCCATAATAGGGACCCTACTATTTGGGTATTATATTAGGGTCCCCAATTTTCGGAAACTACTATTTGTGATTTTGGGGTTGAAAGTTTATAGGGTTTAGCCTAGGCCGGTCGGAGAGCAGGTGCAAAGGAGTGGCCCTGCTAAGGCATGTATGTTATCACCCGTCAGTCTTGGGCCCAAAGACGGCCAGGGTTTAGGGTTTAGGGTTTAGGGTGTCTTTGTTCTTGTTGTTGCCCCTTTTTGCTCGAGCCCCGTGTTACTGATCCCTAGTTTTTGCTGTGCACCCCCGGGCGGCCACGGTGCTTTTTGTTTATTGTTGCGCCGGGGCTCCGTCCATCGTGTTTTTTGTTGCACTCCGCTGAGCTCCGCAATTTTCGACGGGGCCTTGGACGCCCGGAAATCCTGAAAACACTGCCAGGGGGCGGTTGGTGTTTTTGCTCGTGCCCCGCCCCTATGCTCACCCACTCACTGCGGGCTTGGGCCGAGACGATCCCTCCCGGGAAAAAAAAAACACCGCCCCGCCCAGGAGGAGTGCCACGGCCCAGGCCCGCAGTGAGAGAGAATCGGGGCGGTGCACAAGCAAAAAACGCAAAATCCTCCGACCCCCGGCCGTGTTTTTCTTTTGCTGTCGCCCCGCTTGGCCTTTTTAGACCAGGCTTCGGCGGGGCACGAGCCAAGAAAACAACTTTCCTTCAAGCCCTACAACACATTTATCCTAAAATACGAAGGACTCGTTTATACACCCGAACATAGAGGCCCTGAAAACAAACCTACATGCTATAGTACTCCAAGCCCGAAATATCCCTGGGCCTTACAGCAGGGTTTGTCTTGACGGTTCAAGTTCGGTACTGTGAAGGTTACTTGCGGGGTAAGCTTGGGTTTACTAGCAGCTTCTAATATGGGAGTTTCCGAAAATAGGGGACCCTAATTAGCACCCTAAATAGTAGGATCCTTGTTATATGGACCCCAAAATAAGGTACCCCTAATTTTCGGAAACTCCCATATAATGCTTGCATAGAGTTTTGAACAGGTTTCCTAGGTGTCTGCACGGGCGTTGCTAAGCTGTAGGGCTCTTCGGCTCTAGGGCTTCGGATTTGGACTTTGGGGCTCAGGGCTCAAATTTTTGTTCGGGTTCGAGGCGGGTTCGTGGGACTTAGGGTTTAGGGGTTTAGGGTTGAATATGGAGGGTTTGCGATTGAATTCAACAAGTGCTGCCTTTCACTACCAAGTGGGCCTACTTCGAGGGCTTTCATCGATTGGCTTCTAACACTGAAATCATACACCATAAATCCGAGCTCCTAAACCCTAAACCCCAAACACACGAACCCTTAAGGGAGCCCGTAAGTGCTCCTTAAAGGGTTCCTTTCAAGGAACCCTTACGAGAAACCCACTTTCTTGAAGCTATTTTCAGGCCAGGGAGCCGGAAGAAATCGACCTTGGAGACCGACGGCCCACATGCGCTTAAATGTTTTTAAGGTTTAGGGTTTTAGGTTTAGGGTTTAAGGGTTAGGATTTAAGGTTTAGGGTTTAGGGTTTAAGGTTTAGGGTTTAAGGTTTAGGGTTTAGGGTTTAAGGTTTAGGGTTTAGGGTTTAAGGTTTAGGGTTTAAGGTTTAGAGTTTAGGGTTTAAGGTTTAGGGTGTAGGGTTTAAGTTTTAGGGTTTCTGGGCTCGAAAGATCAGGGCTTATTGTTTGGGGCCTTGGGGCTTCGGGGGTTGAGCCGGCTTAGGTTGCATGATTGAGGGTTTAGGGCTTATGGGTTTACCTGGATCCTAAGGAACCTACCTTTTTAGGGTTCCCTCATATGATTTCTTTATACAAGTCCTTAAAACGGTAGGTTACTTGGGGTTAAGGTAGCTAAGAAACGACAAAGTCTAGCGTTCCTAGGTTTAGAGTTGAGGGTTAAGATAAAAACATGATAGACTTAGGTTCTGACTATGTCCGAGAACCCATGGTAGCCGAAACCACAAGCATCAGTCAAACAAGATGCCTCCACCCTCAACCCCAAATCCACTTAACCCCCTCTAGACCTAAGCCACTTTCTAGACCTAAGAGTAACCTAGGAATAAAAAGAACAAGGGCCTACTCTGGGTCCTGGCCGTAGAAGCCCTTGAACGGGAACCTTGAGGGGAATCCCCAAAGCTACCGCCGAGCAGCTATCGGCTGCATCTTCTCGTCGATATTCAGAGTGAGCAGCCGCGGGTGCGAAGCCAACACTTTCCTAATCTCCTCGTTGCTGAGGCCAACCTCAAACTGAACTGCTGGAATACCGGGGTCCGAAGAATTAGCCATAGCATTCCCACTAGAGTCGCTGCAAAACACCGCAATAGTAGTTCCACCTCAAACCCTTTTTGAACACAAGTGTAAGGCTTGTTGGCTTAGGGTTAAAAACAGGTTCGGGTTCAGGAGAAGGGTGTTGAATTTAGCGTTCAGTGTTTGAGGATAAAAGCATCGCCTAGAGTAGCAAATGCGCCTCCATCCATGAAAGAGTCCTCGTTTGATTAAGGGGCACCTCGGTTCTATCTATCTCTCTCTCTCTCTCTCTCTCTCTCTCTCTCTCTCTCTCTCTCCCTCTCTCTGCAGCAACCGAGCGCAAAAACCCTGGCTCATGTAGATTTGTTCAAACACATATAGCCAACATATGCAACTCCAAAAGCTCAGAACGTTTTCACTCTGGGTGCAGAACAGCTATGTAGAACTCGAGCCTACTCTTGCTGTTGATTTTGGGCTGTGCCTTTATCCCAAGGCTGGGTTTTAGAATGTAAGGTTCAGGGTTTAGGCGCGGAGCCTATGGACTGCAGACCCGCAGTCTTCGGCAAGCAGCAGGGGCAAGTCAGGAACATAAGCACTTCTTGCAAAAACTGAACGTATGTCGACTCACGACAGCCCATCGGGAGAATCAACCTGCAAAGAACGAGACCGCAGATGCATGATTTGCAGATTTGGGTTTTTGGCTGGGTTGGACAGGAATAAACCTGAACCCTAAACCCTAGCGAATGTGTAAGATGCAGGGTCCTGGCCGGATCTGAGCATGCTGCGCTCGTCGCAATTAGGTGCTAAATGGTGCCACGGAAAGTCGGGAACTTCTCAATCTCAATCTTTGTCTAAGGTCTGCACCTTGGGGTTTACACCTTGGGGGCGGGTCTCATGGGTTTGGGGCGTTTAGTGAAACTCATGTAGTGGCTTAATGATAAGGATAGGGCTTTGGGCTCCTTTGTAGTATACTTGTAAAAGAGAACCCCAAGGAATATACACAAGTATGTACGCGTGCATCTGTGTATATGTAGATAAAACGAGAACGGGACACAGAAACATATATATATATATATACACATGCATATAGACATCGACCTGCCATAAACTTGAAAACAACAGCCTTATCTTGTACAAGAACCCGAAAACTGTATCTGCCTACAAATATGCACAGTTTTTATGCAAACAACTCATATATCATGCGTATATTCCAGCAAAAATGTTATGATCATTTCAATGCGTCTGTACGGATGCTTAAGACTGCAAAAGACGCCTGACCCGAATGCTGAGGTTTAATTTGTGAGGGTTCATATGTACTATAGGGTTTGGAGTTTAGGCGAGGGTGCAAGTGACTGTCGAAAGCGAGTAATACTGACTGACCATGAAACTCCCGACAGGCAATGCCAAAACATGCGACTACAAAGCTGCCAGCAGACTACACAGAAGCCTTGCAGACTAGTCACCTTTTCAACCGGCAGACCCTGAATCGCCCACACTCACCCAACAACGCGCAAACAAACACTGAACCAAAGACGCCGCGCCACAGCAGAGAGGAACTCTTGGTACCTGGCGAACTTCCGAGAAAAAAAACTAGTACTACTGAATTTCGTCCAAGTCTAAATACAAGGCTTCTTTACAGGTTCCACAAGACTAAGATGGCTAACATAGGGCCGTTCAAGAGGGTTTGCAACGGGGATGTTAATATGTCTCGTGTTTGTTCGGGCTCCCATACTTCCTGAAACTCTAAGCCTTACCTCCCCAACAAGACACAAGTTAAACTTTCTGATTCCTGCTAAACTACAAGAAGCCAACAAGTTTAAAGCTTTGGTATTGGGGATCCAGGAACCCTTTTTGGGCCCCAAGCTGGAAGCCCCAAACACCAGACACCAACGCTCTCAGCACTAGAACATCAACTGAACTCGCAGCCACTAGCCCCAAATCCTAAACCCGATACCGATCGCGAACAGAACCTTAAGCTTTAACAGCAACTTAAAAAAAACACACCCTTTGAACACCCCAAACCCTAAGCCCTATACACTAAACTGCCTTTTCAATCGCAAGCAAGACACGGCTTGACCGAGAAAGCCGAGGCGAGATTCTTGCCCGATGGCCACCTTGGATGGTGTTTTCGGCGCTTAAGGTTAGGGTTTAGAGTTTCGGCTCACGCACGGTTTAGGGTTTGGTTTAGAGTTTACGATTTAGGTTCTAGGGTTTGGGGCTGAGGATTGGTGTTTTCGGGTTTGGGTACAGGGTTTTAGATTTCTCCTACTATAGGCGGCTGGTGTGTTCTTTGTTTGCGTGTTACAGGTTGCTTGCGCTTAAGGGGAGGTGATATTATGGGGTTTCGGGGCTTTAAAGTTGCCCGTTATAGGGCTTTGGGGTCCTGCCCAAACTTCAGATTCGCACTACTGTGTCTTGGGTCACCTATTCTATAGTTAGGAAGATAGCTATGACAAGAACATTTAAACAAAACATGTAGCCTAAGGCTCCAAAGTAGTTCCTTTTTGGGGTTCACATATAGAATCCTATAAGGTAATCCCAAAAAGGAACTACTTCGGAGCCCCTGGGTAACACCAAACAGGGAGCTGCGCTTCAGGTAAGCAGGATTCTAAGAACTCTTCCGGGCCGCCATGAAACGCAAAGGCTCCATGTACCTTTATTTATAGTCGATACCCAGGGGCTCCATAGTAGTGCCTTTTTGGGATTACCTTATAGGATTCGATATATGAGCCCCAAAAAGGAACTACTTTGGAGCCTTAGGGTACTTAATTAAGCCTTAAAGGGGTCCCTATATAGGCACTTTCAGGCCTAAGTATATCACTAATCCTTCGGAGCAAAAGCACTGTAAAGTTCATGCCGCAGCGGCTTCTCGATGGTGCTGGCCACCTGATCCTGGCTGAGACCAAGCCTGAGAGAATTCCAGGGTTCAGGTTCCTAGTTCTGATCTTATATGCGGTTTAGGCTGTAGCTTGGGGCGGCTTGGAGCCCAAGGTATCCACGGAGTTCGGGTGATTCGGGTGAGGACCCGATTTGGGGTTTAAATTCTGGAACCAGGATTGAAGACGCACGATTCCGGATTCAGGAGGTTTCGATGGTGCACGATTGCCAAAAGTCCTAAGGCCGAAGCAACGGAACCATGAGCCTTGCGGACTTTGCAAGATACGTGCGGAATGAAGGGGTCCTACAATGTTAATGTGGCTGTGTGGTATGGTGCAGTATAATCAAAAGGGGAGCTAGGATTTTTGGTTTTAAGGATCTCATAGACACTGGATTCATGACAGGGGCCTAGGCAATCAGAGTAGGGGTTCTTCATAAACGTGTTTTTTGAAGGCTTTCGACATAAGGGTTGCTATAAAGGTTTTTTCGAACGAGGGTGTAGTATAGGAGCCTGTACGATTAGAATAGGGGTGGCGGGTGTAAAGTGCTGTATGAGACTATGACTATGGTGGGGAACCCTGAGGAAAAATCGTACAAAATTCCGACCCCTTTCAAACTGTGATGTTTCAATATGCGCCCGGGGAAATTCCAACAAAGCACCTGGGAGTCATATGGGAGTTTCCGAAAATAGGGGACCTTGATAGAGGACCCGAAATAGTAGGATCCTTATTATAAGGACCCGAAAATAAGGTACCTCTATGTTCGGAAACTCCCATACCTCTACAAGCGGCAGGTTTCAACAGTTACTGCTTACCTGCCTTACTGGGCCATAGTTTACAACACAAAGTGTGAGGAAAAGGTCATTTCCGAAAATAGGGGACCCTAACATAGTACCGAAAATATTAGGATCCTCATTAATCAGGTCCCCAAAATACGTTACCACCGATTTTCGGAAACTCCCATATGCCCGCAATTGCTAAAGAAGCGAGGTAGCGGAGACCGTTCGAGCACAACTGGCCAAACCCAAAGGTACCTGTAGTCTCCATTGTAGTTCCTTTTTTGGGTTACCTTATAGGATCCTGAATATATAATTGGTTAAACCAAAAAAAGGAACTACAATGGAGACTATAGGTAGAGGCCTAAATTGCTAGAGCAGTGTTTTTGGTGCATGGTGTGAGACAAGTACATGGGGAATATGCAGGAGACTGGGTGAAGTTTGTCACAGCCAATATCCTTAACCCTAAAGCCCTAAACCCTAAACTCCCAAACCCTAAACGCCGCAACCCGAAACCCAATCACCCTCAAACCTCACCGACGGGCCGCTCTCGAAGCTCGGAGACCAGCGATTCGAGGTCGCTGCTTTGATTGAGACCTTGCCAGGGCTGTCTGGCTGTTAGGGTTCATAAGGGCAGGATTTCCAGAGTTTAGGGCTTACCACAAGGGTCCATGTACCTCTTGCATGTATAGTATACTTGGACCCTTTTGCCCTAAATGTTAAAGCTTGATAGAACCCTTTATAGGAACCCACCCTTGTAGCAGACCTTGAACCCTGAAACCTCTATAGGACCCTTGAAAGGAAACTTGAAAGTAGGGGTACATGGACCGCTAGCTGTCGAAGCAGTACACTCTTCGATGCTCCAAGCCAAAAACAAACCCTGAATCGGAAATCCAGGGCTCAAGATCTGAAACCCTTTGATGGATTCCTGGCTGTCGGGGTGACTCCGATTCTCGCATCTCGGAATGACAGGTTTTCAAGTGTTAACGTGAGTTTGGGGGCTGGGGTTTGAAGGTTTAGGGCAGTTTAGAGGTTTGGGGTGGTAGGGCATCCAACCCTCAGCTCAGACATGACCCCAGGAATTTTGACCTGCAGGAACGTCTAGTATTGGGTGCCTGCGTCCAATCCTAGGATGCGCTGGGGCGAGATTTAGGGAGCCCTAAACCCTTTTGCGGCCTCGTTGTCCAGCAGCCCGGTTACAGCAAGAGCCCTAAACCCTGAACCCTAAACCACAAGGTTTCAGGTCTAGGGCTTATAGGGTTTAGGGTTCAAGGTTGCCTTGAGCTGTTGGGGCTCGGGGGTTTGGGATCCCAGACTGGGGTTTCCGCACTTGTCCGGGTAATCTTGCTGTTAGGGTTTGGGGTTTAAGGTTTTGGGTTTAGGGTTTAGGATGTCGCTCGAACTTGGATCCCTGCGTTCGGGCTGTAGGGTTGCAGCACGGCTGCCTACGAATTAGGAAGTGTCGGACTGTGACAGATTAACCCGATGACGGGTGCATGTTGAAGATGGCTATAATATAATATGACAGGAAAGTCTGCAATTGAGGTATCAGCAGAAGTTGCGGCGAAATCACCTGCCTGAACCCTTCGTAATCCTGAGCCCTGAACCCCAAGACTAAACCCTAAACCCTAAAACCCCAAATGCTAAACCCCAAAACCCTGAATGACCATAAATCCTGAACGCCAGAACCTAAGCGCTGGTGTCCGGGGACCGTGCCCAAGATTTGCGGCCGCACGGCGATAATCCTTGTTGCTCCACTTGGGTGCTCGTGGGACTTAGTACATACAGTTATGAGTACCTTAACTGGGGTTATGACCAATTACACGTATAGTTGCCTTATTTGCAACACTAGTTACTAAGTCCCATGAACCTCTAAGCAAGATTTTTGTGTTTCTCACCCTCCCAACTGACAAAGTCGCAAGGGTTTGAAGGGCTTATAGCTTATGTACGAAGATCTAGGGCTTTGGACTTTCAGTAAGCCCGACATGCCATGAACTCAAACCGTAAACTTCATGTGCTGATTTATATGCTAGCTGCTAGGCGCTGGTCTAGGGCCAGCTTGCCGGGCTGATGTTTAAGGATGCTTTGGGCTCTGGGGTTGGCAAGACAGGACAAGCGTCTTGAAGCTTGAGCATGTAGTTGCAGTGTCACGCTAACCCTAAACTCTAACAAGATGGGAGCCTTAAAAGGAGGGACCAACAAATAGTGATATTTCGTACTGCAAGTAACCCAAGCTCTTAGTTCTTACCGCCGAAAACGTCAAGGCGAGCCCTTTGCTTACTTCCATACTGAACTTAGAACCCTAGCCAAAATTGTAATTTTAGCCGTTTCTTAGGGATTATAATGACCAAAAATAAATTAACAAATCATTTCTAAGTACCCCGAAGACTTCCCCAATAAGATACAAAAACGAAGGGTTAAACTTCCCGATTCCTACTAAACTACAAGAACCCAAAAAGTTTAAAGGTTAGGTATTGGGGATCGAAGTTTAACGCTCACACCGTGAATCTCACACAACCCCCGAATTTCCAAACCCCTCAAGCTCCACAAACCCTAATCAAAAAAAACAAAAACCTTCTGAGGTTCAAAGGTTTAGGGTTTAGGGTTCAGGATCAAATCTATGTGGCTAAGGATGTAAGCTTATGGTCCTGGTTTAGGTTGTCTCTCTCGGGATTTGTTGCTTCGGGTTTGGGGGTTTCGCGCTCACACTCGGACCAGCCAGGCGGAAAATGCGATCCGAGGCTTGGGGCTTAGGGGTTTAGTGCCCTTAAGGGTCCAAGTACCTAGCTATCATGTACTCTCCAAAATAGTAACCTACATAATTACCACCCTAAACCCTTTTCAGCACGGACTGAGATGCTGGCCAGCGCCCACCCTAAACCCTAAACCGACTACTGTGTTCTAGACCCAAGTACCTAATTATGAGGTCCTTTGGAACCTCAGAGGGCCCTTAAAGCCCAAGCCAAGAATCCTCCCGAGCTGCTTGGACGTTAGACCTGCCACGTGCGAGTGCGAGGCTTCAGGGGTCAAATATTGGCTCCCCAGACCTTCCAAAATGCCTTAATTAAGGAATATACCTTAAATCATAATAGGATCCCTAATATGATTTAAGGTATATTCCTTAATTAAGGAATCTTGGAAGGTCTGGCTCTTGCGAGAAGTAATGTAGGGGCCTTAATAATGAGAATAAGGTGCCTTTCAGGGGTTCCTTTTGAAGGGGTCCATAAGGGATACTGTAAGGGCTCAATGATATAGGGGCCAAAATAAGTAATTCGAATAGGGTTTCGGGCCCCATTATCCTACGATGGAAGTAAAGAAGCGCCAGAATAGTATTGGTAATTATTGGCTCTTTGAGGAAGTAGGGCTTTTTGCCTCCAGCTCCACAAGGACGACCCCACGTGGCAGGGTAAGGACCGGGTAAGGAAGTGGGGCTTATAGGGTGTAGGGTTCAGGGCTGCTTAGGGTTAAGGCTTTAGGGTCTAAGTATATCAGGAAGTACATGTATAGCTCAGGCTGTGCTGAGCCAAAGGACGGGGGGGGTGAAGGTCCTCTGTTTGTTTCCTACGTGTGTAACAGGAGTGGAGGATGAATTCTGCCACCCTGGTCAGGGCATCTTCTAGGATACCCAGTAACCTAAGAAAAAAGCCTCTCTTTTTGGTATTGGGTAACTTTATAAGGAACCTAGGACTACAAAAAGGGAATAAGGGTACTACTGGGCATCCTAATCTTTTTCGAGTTAGCCAAAGCCAAGTCTGGGTCTTGCGATGTCTTGAGATAGGTGCGTCCTGGGCCGCGGAACCATCACGCTTCGAGCCATGATGCGACAGGTACGTGAAAGGAGCCCGTGTGGGAGAACAACGAAGCCGGCCACCCTGAGTATGTGGTCATTGAAATATATGTTTGACCTCAAACACGGCGCCAAGGGGGGCAGATATGGCGGTCCTGCAGGCGTCTGGGGGCCTTCATATATTGTGGGGGGGCAGCTGTGCACTCCTGCTGGCCTGTCTGCTGGAGCTCTTCCAGTGAAGACTTCAGGTTTCCTCAGCTCTCCGCAGTGTGATGTCCGCAAAGAAACCCATCCAAGGAGAAATTTGACTGATGAGGGCCACTAGGGTTTAGGGTTTACCAGCACCCCCCAAGTACCCCGTAGTAGAGCCCTTATGGTCCGTAACAGCGGGTATGTAGGTTACAAGAGAGGGTAGTTGGAATGTGCTGGTAGGAGGCATTCATGCAGTGAAGCCTGCGCATGATTTGGCCTCCAGATGCAAGACTGGCATCAGCGGACACGGTCTTGGCATTACTGGTATCGCCTTGTTGCTCTTATGGGCCCCGAACGCACCGAAAAATGTCAATCCGTTTGTTTGTGCTTTTAAGCCAAAGGTCCAACGGAGAGATTGAAGTTGACGACATTCGGGTGCTCCTCCAGGATCTTCTCCTTGTTCCGACGGGCTAAATCAATGTCCCTAGGGGTCCATGTGCTAAAGAGAGTAGATACTTTGTCGCAAGGTACCTCCGTGGGGACTTCTTTAAGGCCAATGTATACACTACAAAGGTATATGGGCCCTCAAGGTGTAGGTATTTGCAAATTCTCAGAGCGGCTTCAATACAATCAGTCTGGGGCTTATCGGAATGACGGTTACTTCAGTCAGTGGGAGTTTTGCATCAGAAACCCTGCAAAGGAAACTGGAAGAGCTTGCTTCCTATCTTTCCTGCAAGCTGCTGAACCTCTCTTTATCTCATTGCCCTAAACCCTAAACCTGAAACATCTCTTTATCCCATTGCCCTAAACCCTAAACCCTATGACCCTAAGCCCCAAACCTCCATGACCCTCACCCCTGCAACCTGGGTATTTCAGCCCAGGGTGGTGAAGGGGACCTGCCTTGTCTGGAACCAGGCGGCTGCACCGGATGGCCCATCAAAGAGGCTAAGGAGGCTCCTGTACGTCCTAAGGCTCCATGTACCCATATCATATCATACAGTTTCTCCAAACAGGGACTACTTTGAGCCCAAAGAGTCTACTTTATGGGTACATGGGCCTGGTTCAATTATGCCTACTTGGACCCCCAGACTCAGCACTTCGCAATTATGCATTGTTGTCGGGTGCAGAACCTCAGCTGAAATAGATCCACGCCTACCCCCCAACTCCTCAACCCTACACCCTGAGCGTTGGACCTGCTGGCTCTCAGCACATGTCTTCGCCCTTGCATATGGGTGGTTGTCAAAATTCTGGTCCCTTTTTGGATCCCTAATATAATGCGAACCTGAAATTTAAGGTGCCCAAAAAGGGACCCTAGTTTTGACAACCACCCAGAGGAGTTTTAGTCAAGGTTGAAGGCTGGAGGATCTGAGACTTTTGTGTGTACATGCGGGGCTGTTGGGGTACGTTGTAGTAGAATTATAAAGTATATACATATATGTATATATGTATATATATATATATACATACGTATGTGTATATATATACATATATATATATATACACACATTCTAGGTAAATAGAGAATAGAGAAGCCCCCCAAAACCTCACCTCGACCTGATTCAGGTTCGAGAACTCTAACTACTGCGGCCTTATGCTCTGAACTCTGAACTCTTATTTACTGAACCCTAAACTTAGTTGGTGAGTTCACAAGCCCCAAAACGTGTAGACTTTTAGTTTTATAGCGGGTACTAGTGTCTCAAAAAGTGCAAAGTGTATCCACTCAGCTACTAAGTAAACCCTAACCCCTAAACCCAAAGAGCCTATACGGATCCCTAAACCCCAAACCCCAAACCCTAAACCCTAACCCTAAGAGCCTATACGGATCCCTAAGCCATGTGGCCCATGTCTCATGGTTCAGGCCGACCTCTGCCAGCACCTCGGCACAAACCGAGTTCCCTAAGGATGGTTTAGGGGTTTATTGTAGGGTTTAGAGGTCAAGGCCCAAAAGGGTATGGGTTTTGGGGCTGAAGGTATAACCCTAAACCCTAAAACCGTGCGGAAGTTCTGCTACTGGTAAACGCGTCAAGCCCTGCACGTCTATTGTCTCTGCACTGTCGGACGTCGAGCCCCCTTCGGAGAGAATACCCTAACCCCTAAACCCTAAACCCTATACGGGGGCCTGGATACTAAAGACATCTCTTCATGGGAGCCTTCAGGAGCCTCTACAGCAGGGTTTAGGGTTTAGGGTTTAGGGTTAAGGGCTCCTATAAGGGATGCTGAAGGGCTCCTTTACAGGATCCATAGGGTGTAGGGTTTACGGTACCCAAGGACTCCCATGCCCCTTAATTAAGGCATATTCCTTAAGTCATATCCTTGGGAATATTCCGTAATTAAGGGATGCGGGAGTTTCTGCGTGCAGGGTCTGTGTCTGGACTTCGAAGTAACCAGGGAGAACAAAGTATAGACTTTGTTCGATAGCGGTCTTCACGGCGCAGGTCCAAAACTATATTCAAGCCTGGCACTTCAGAACACAGCTGTAGGGGTTTACGGATTTAAGGGCCTTAACTAACAAATGGAATCGATTGCTGCAGGATTTGCTTTGCTGGCTTTAAGCGGGCTTCATGAGAGGAACCTTCACTTCGAGAAAAGGGCTTGAGCGCATGTACTGTGGTATACTTGTATAGAGCCTGTAATGATGTATCAAAGAGTATGTGTTCTTGACAAGGTACCAACTATTCAGAGCCCTATGTTAGGGGCTGATGTTCAGTAGAAATGTGAGTTTCCGAAAATAGGGAACCCTAAGATAGTACCCTAAATAGTAGGATGCTCATTATAAGAACCCCCAAATAAGGTACCCCTAATTTTCGGAAACCCCTAAATCGGGCTTGGGGTCTATTCTAGAAAACAGCATGAGCTGATAGTACATGGTGACCGACGGTCGAGGTTCCATCTTTTCAAACCAGAAACAACTTGACTGTCTAGGGTTCTATAGGCTTTCAGGCTTTAGGGTTCAGAGCCTTCAGCCCCACGAGAAACCTGCAAGAAACCAGAACCGAGTCTTCTAGGCCCAATCTTTGCATACTTCAATGCTTCAATTCAACTGAGCTATTGCAACGCACTAAAGCATTTTGAGATCTCTCACCACGAGGCACCAAAACCCAAGCCCAACCCTACAGTAGCACATTCCTGTCTATTTGGGCCGTACAAGACCCGTACGCAGTATTCCAAGCCCTTGTACAAACCCTACACAACCCTTGAACAACGAAGTAAGACAATAAGATCCAACAAAGCCCAAACCTAGACCCCCCAAGGTTCTATTAAAGGGAACTTGGGTGGGGGGGTGCTGGAAAGCCCTTAGCCACGATGCTTCTTCGTCAGGCTCGTGCAACCCGTCCTCGCACCAACGCACTAGCATCTGCCTGGGGTTTGGCAGGGCTTGGGTTTAAGGTTTACAGTAGAAGCCAGAAAGTTGGAACATTGCTTTATGAGGATTAGTGCTAGGATCCCCTTATACTTTATCTTAAGGGCATGAGGACAATGATGTTTTGACTTTCTGGCTTCTACTGTAGGGTTTTGAGGCTAGGATTCAGGGTTTTAGTAGTCTAGCATCAAAGAGTTTAGGAATTATGATTTGTTTTTTTTTAATCGGCCCTGGGATTAGAGCTTAAGGCGGTCTGCAAGGACATGGGACCATCTTCGTAGGGATTGCTGTCTTGCCTACTTGTCGGGTACCATGGGGGAACTAAAGCTTAACCTTTTTGGTTATATAGGGGTTATATAGGGACTACACTACCCAATAAAAGTTAAAGGTTACTTACTCTACTATTACGTTTGTAGTTTTTGCAGGAATATACTTTACCCTTCACTGAGAACCTCATCGTGTGATGGGAAACGTGTTCTTCTGGCCGGTGCTTGGAGGATAATGGGACTTAGTAAGTAAGGTTCTCTACCTTTCTCAGCAATTACAAGTATGGTTACCTTCTTATGAAGTTCCAGGGAGTTTCCGAAAATTAGGGGTACCTCATTTGTCTTATAATACGGATCCTACTATCTGGGGTACTAATAGTAGGGTCCCCTGTTTTCGGAAACTCCCACTAAGTCCCATGATCGTTGAAGCAGTTGTACGCACAGGAGCCCGCAGCTGGCATAAACCGTAAACCCTAAACTCTAAACTCCCAAACCCCTTTCAAGAACTACACCAGGTGTAGCCTGTAAACCATGAAGTGATGTTGGTGCTGTGGTTTGACTTCAAACCTTGGCTTAAGGTAAAAAAAAACATTCAGGGTTTAATGCCTCAACAACTCTGGCTTTGTAGCTTCAAGCTCGTGAGTTCTGGTGCATGTTGAAGCTACTCGTCTAAGCCTCCGACCTAGGGTCGTAGTTCATATGGGAGTTTCCGAATAGGGGTACCGTATTTTGGGGTCCTTATAATAGGATCCTACTATGTAGGGTACTATGTTAGTGTCGCCGAGGGATAACAGTCCTTCCTATGCAAAAAAGTCGGGATAGAGATCCTAATGTTTCAGGCCCTTCAAGGAAGGGATATTCCAAAGGCGTCCAGTATGTTTGGGTCGGAGAATCTCAGCACACCTGATAAATCATGCTACTGAGGTCCTATATGCCCGGGGCTTTAGGGTTTAGGGTTTAGGGGGCTTAGGGTTTAGGGGCTTTGGTTTTGCTCAACTTTACGAATAATTTTGGGCTAAGGCGAAGGCCTTCTATCGTGCTACTCAGGATATCAGTCCAAGAACCGTGCCTAGGTAACCGAAGACCCAGCATCTACAATGTAAGAATATACAAGTACACATATAACCCTTGACAAGCGAAGGGTTTTGCGCTCCCCAGCTCAGGACTAGAGACCGGCAACTTGACATCGACACCAAGCCGCCGAACGCCGCTACGCAAATGAAGCTTGTCCATGAGGCTACGAACAGCTTGCCGCAGCACCTTCAGACTGCTACACCATAACCTCCAGACACTAGAGCCCAAAACCCTAAACCGCCACATCACACACACACACACATATATATATATATATATATATATATATTATGCAGATATACTTATATATAGGTATATGTATCGATGTATCAACCCTCAGAACAATCACATGTTCTGGATTTGGAAAACCTGCATGCGCATTCTCCGTCCAAGGACATGGGGCGAGGCTTTCAAGTCTGAGAAGGAACGACATACTTCTCGAATTTGGTCGTTTTTGGTACAGGGCTTAGGGTTCGGGGTACAGACTTCGATGGGGCATGTGGCGATCCGAGGTGCAAACCCGTGATGCAAAACTAACGGCCCTTCGTTCCCATCATCCTTCTGCATTCGCTGCACTTACTTTGGGTTTAAGGATTAGAGCTAAAGCTTCAGCAGCTATTGTTCAAGCACATCGGTTCCCCTAAACCCTAACATACTACGGGCTACATACGAGGATTCACATGGGTAGTTGTCAAAAATATGTCCCCTTTTTGGTTACCAGAAATATTAGGTGCCGTACCATAATAGGGATCCAAAGAGGGACCCTAATTTTGACAACCACCCACATGTTAAAGGGTACCCAGCTGGGGTCGGCAGGGAGGAATCACACCTTCAGGTTAGGAAGTTACCTTTGTTGATGGGGGCTTGGGGTTTAGGATTTTCCGGGCTCAGAGTGTAGCAAAGTTCGGGTCGAAACTATCTGGGGTTCTTCCTACCTTACTTAGAACAACCCCTGAACCTCCAAGTAAACCCTGATCCCTAAACCCTTCTAGATCCCTTAAAGAACCTCTCTCTCTCTCTCTCCCCCCAGGCAATCCTGAAATCTCATATCTTGGGGTTGTAGGCCCGCGTATGTTTAGGATAAGTTTCCTTTAAAGGGTTCTTAAAAAGGCCCTATCAGGGTAACTAAGGTTACTATAATTAGGGGTACGAATGGCTACGATAAGGGGTTTGTATGACCCTAGGGATCTGAGGAGTCATATGGGTGGTTGTCCAAATTATGGTCCCGTTTTGGATCCCTATTATATAATACGGCACCTAATATTTAGGGTAACCAAAAAAGGAACAATATTTTGACAACCACCCATGTATAAAGGCTTTTGGGTAAAAAGACCATACTAAACAAGGCTTTTGAGCAACTTTGATCCCCAGGGTAATAGAGGTTCCTCTAAAGGGTTCTTAAAAAGGGTCCTAGAAGGGTAACTATACGGGTTACTATAAGGGTGTAATGTCAGGGCCTTAACAATTAGAATAGGGTTTGGGGGCCCATTAAACTATACTTGTAAATAATCAGGAGCCCCCAAAATAGTAACCGTTTCGGCGCCTATATTACCTACGACCTGGCGCATGCTCTTTCAAGTGCGCGAAACCTTACACTGTCACTCCCTGATGCCCCGAATGTAGGATCTAGCAATGATGGTTAGACTCGGATAGAGCTCAAATTCTGGAGCCAGCTCATGCAGATGGGAACTTACGTTCGGTCCCAAATGGCCCCGACATAGCTTCGAAAGTTGCGCAACATGTGTACCGTGCAGTGCTGGTGCTGCACCGACCGAACATGATACGCAGACCTGCTACATATTTTCCAGCTGAGCTTGTGCAGCACCGCTGTCTCCACCATGGCCAGCAGCACCCCATGTCACGATAGCTCCATCACCCAGAATCGCAGCAAAAGCGCCACAAGAGGCTTGGATCTGCTTGACATTCGTCAGTTGATCCTGCACCGCACTACTATCACCACCATAGCCAGCATCACCCCAGGTCACGACCGATCCGTCAGCGAGAATAGCAGCAAAAGCAGCACCAAACATATTTCTGCAGACTTGGATATGTTGCACATTCTTTAGCTGATGCTGCACAGCACTACTGTCACCACCATGGATGGCACAACCCCAAGTCACGACTGCTCCATCACCTAGAATCGCAGCAAAAGCGCCGTCAGAGGCTTGGATATGCTGCACACTCTTCAGCTGATCCTGCACAGCACGACTGTCACCACCATAGTCAGGGTCACCCCAGGTAACGACCGCTCCATCACCCAGAATCGCAGCAAAAGCGCCGTCAGAGGCTTGGATATGCTGCACATTCTTCAGCTGATCCTGCCCAGCACGACTGTCGCCACCATAGTCAGGGTCACCCCAGCACACGACAGATCCGTCACTAAGAATGGCAGCAAAAGCACAGTGAGAGGCTTGAATCTCATGCACATTCTTCAGGTGTTCCTGCACGGCATTGCTGTCACCACCATAAGCTAGGTCACCCCAGGTCACGACAGATCCGTCACCAAGAAGGGCGGCGAAAGCACAGTGAGAGGCTTGGATCTGACGCACGTTTTTCAGCTGGTCCTGCACGGCACTACTGTCACCACCATGGTCAGCACTACCCCAGGTCACAACGGATCCATCTCCAAGAATGGCAGCAAAAACATGAAGATTAGCCTGGATCTTACAAACATCTTTCAGCTGATCCTGCACAAGACTACTGTCACCGCCGTGGCCAGCAAGACCCCAAGTCACGACCAATCCGTCGCCAAGAATGGCAGCAAAGGCAAAGCCGGTGGCTTGAATTTGCTGCACGTTCTTTAGCCGATCCTGTACGGCACTACTGTCACCACCGGTGACTGCATTGCCCCATGTCGCGACCGATCCATCGTGAAGAATAGCAGCAAAAGAAGAAGCGGAAACGCCGGCAGCGGCTCGTATCTGCTGCACCTTCGTCAGCCGATCCTGCACAGCACTGCTGTCACCACCATCTGCAGAATCACCCCATGTCACGACAGATGCATCACCCAGAATGGCAGCAAAAGCGGCGCCAGTCGCACATGCACGAACTTGCCTTAGGTGCAACATCAATGAGTCGCCGATCTGCAGCTTGGACTTCTTGATTTGTGCACCTACATCTAAAACGCTGCCAGATGAGTCCAGCAGCTGCCCTCTTCCAACTCCAAGCGAGATCTCGGCCCGACGTTTCAATGTTTGCACAGTGTCACTCAAGGTTACTTGCACAGTGGCGGTCTTGCCACTGAGCAGCCCAACTTCTAAGCGAGTCGACATGGTGCTGGTCGCAAAGCAGCTCGTCGCTTTACATAGGGCTTGATGCAGCGCTGAGGGCTTTTGCAACGTCTGTCACAGGTCTGTGAAAACTTCAATCTTACCGAAGTGAAGAGTAACTTACAACGCATTGAGCAGAAGCTGCAAGGATTCGAAAGCAGCTTACAGAACCCGTCTGGACACCGTCTAGATCTTCAAAACACTTAGAGCACCCTTATGGACCCTTGTAGATCTCTTAATTATTACGGCACCCTTTTGGGACCTCTATACAAATTATAGAACCATTGCTAGAGGACCCTTGGCTGACTAAACTTTTGGCCTCCTTATTACAATTCATATAGAAACCCAAAAAGTTGAAGTCGTAAGAGCCAACCAGAAGAGCGCCAAGGACCCGTTTAGAGCCCTTACAGAACCCCTTATCTCGAAAAGGGGACTAGCGGGCCGCTCCCTCCGGTTCATAAGAGAAGGAACCAGGGCTACACTTATGCTTACATGCACACCCCCCCCACCCTATGCAACAACAGGTTATGACCCCTTACTTATAAGGTCTAACTCCGAAAACAAGAGGTTTGGGATCCCCCCAGGTAGGGTTTATAGTTCTTACATTGTTTAATGACCCTAAACCCTAAACCCCCTAAACCCTAAACCAATTGTAATTTAGGGTCACTCTGGGTTTCGGGTTCCTATCCGGGAGACCATGGGGGCTACTGTGACGGTCACTCTACGGGTTACTACAAAGCCCGACAAGTTGAGATGGGGCTCTTTTTACGGGTTTCTATGGAAATTGCTGCTTGTACCATAAGGACCCTTAGTGGGGGTCGGATGGAGGCGGGTATTTGGAGGTTCATGGGACTTAGTAACTATATGGTTATAAACAAGGTAGCTATTATGATTGGTTCTAACCCCAGTTAAGGTACTTATAACTGTACTTACTAAGTTCCATGAGCCTCCAAGTAGTGGGCCTTAATATTTTGGGTGTTGGACGTGCTTGGGGCTTAGAGCTGAAGATCCTGAATACTTACCAAGTGCAAGTACTACCTGCACCCTCAAAGACCCTAAGGCTCCATGTGCCTATAATAGGGGTCCTTTAAGGGGTCCTTTAAAGGGTTCTATAGGGTTTAGGGTATAAGGGTCCATGGTACCCATCTAGTAATTCTATACTTAGGCAATAAAGTACCTATATAGGGACCCCTTTAAGGCCTAAGTATCTACTATGAAAGTGCATGGAGCCTTTGGGTATGTAATGTAGCCACACTTATAATTGCGTGAAACTCCAACTAAGGTAGGTGTGACCTTACTTACTAAGTCGCATGATCCTGTAAGTAAGCCCTATAACCCTTCTGGATCCCTTGAAGGAGCCCTTTAAGTGGGTTAAGTCAGCCTAGAGTAGCCCTTCGCAACTCTGTAACACACTTATACGGAGCCCTTTAGGTCCTTTAAGTGACCCACTGGCTCCATGTACTTTTGTAGTAGATACTTAAGCCTTCAAGGGGTCCCCACATAGGTACTTCAAGGCGGCGGAGCGGTTTTTTTTTCCTAGGTCTGGCCCTCCCCGGCTTGCTTTCCTAAGTCTGGCCCACTGGTTGTGGTTGCCAAAAGCGGCAACTGCGGTCTTTGCTGCATCAAGCTATTGGGGAACTAGAATTCGACGGCTCTGGTTTTGCTTCTGTTTTGCATGAAGCTATTGGGGAACTACAACTTGCGGAGTCTGATTTTGCTTGTGTTTAGCATGAAGCTGTTGGGGAACCACAAGTTGCAGGGTTCGGTTTTCTTTGTGTTTTGCATGAAGCTATTGGGGGTTCGCATTTGCAGGGATCGGTGTTGCTTGTGTTTTGCATCAAGCTATTGGGGAACTACAATTCGCAGGGTCTTCTTCTGCTTGTGTTCTGCTTGAAGCTATTAGGGAACTAGAATTTGCGGTGTGTTCATCTGCTTGTCTTTTGCATGAAGCCACTAGGGAACTACAATTTGCGGTGTGTTCTTGTGCTTGTGTTTTGCATCAAGCTAATGGGGGAACTACAATTTGCGGGGTCGGCTTTGTTTGTGTTTTGCATCAAGCTATTGGGGAACTACAAGTTGCAGAGTATTTTATTGTTTGTGTTTTCCATCAAGCTAATGGGGAACTAGCATTCGCAGGGTCTGGTTTTGCTTGTGTCTTGCATGAAGCTATTGGAGCACTACAATTTGCAGGGTCGTGTTTCGCGTGTGAATATTGCGGGATTACAATTTCAAATATTCTGTCTTGTGTCGTTGTTTTTTGGTGTCGTTGCCGACATCCTCGTCATCGTCGTCGTCATCGTCCTCGTCGTTGCCGTCGTGGTAGTTGTTATTGTTGTTGTTGTTGCTGTTGCTGGTGTTCTTGTTGTTGTTGCTGTTGTTGTTGTGGTTGTCGTGGTGGTTGTGGTTGTGGCTGTCGCTGTTGTTGTTGTTGCTGTTGTTGTTGGTGGTGGTGGTGTTGATGTTTGTTGTGTGTTGCTTGTTGCTTGTTGCTAGTTGTGTTAGTTGCTAGTTGTGTTAGTTGTTTAGTTGTTAGTAGTTAGTTGCTAGTTGCTAGTTGTGAGGTGTTAGTTGTTCGTTGCTAGTTGTTAGTTGTTGGTGTTAGCTGTTAGTTGTCAGTCGTTGGTTGTTATTTGTGAGTTGTGAGTTGTTAGTTGTTTCTTGTTAATTGTTAGTTGTTTCCTGCTTATTGTTCCTTGTTTCTTGTTTGTTGTTTCTTGAAAGGGGTGAGGGATCAAAAAAAAAATAAATAAGGATGGAAAGATCAAAAAAAATAAAATAAGGATCAAAAAAATTAAATCGCTCAAAATACAGCAATTCCTGGGGCAGAGGCATCAAAAAAAATTAAAATAAGGATCAAAAAAAATAAATCACTTAAAATACAGCAATTCCTGAATTTTTCCAAGGGAAAACACTGTTTTCCTAGGGATTTTCTTTTGTTTCCTTGGGATCTGTTTGGTTTTTCCTCTGGAAAACACGATATTCCTGCGGATTCCGTGGTATTTCCCTAAGTTTTCCTTGAGTTTTCGTAGGAAAAAGCCTATTTTCCTCTTACCTATGGCGTTCGTGTCATTTCTTCAGGTTTACAGAAGGACAACATATGGTTGTTCCTCGGGAAAGTCAAATTTTCCTTACAATTTCACATTTAGGACGGATTTCCTGTTGTAGCTGTTGCTGGTATTCCGTTTCATCATCTATCTTAAACACGCCCCTCATTTGGCGATTCTGGTTCAGCATGTATCTACAAGGGCGGAGACGCCCTCATTTGCTGGGTTTCAAAAAAAGGCATATGCTTCAAAGCAACCCTGCACGGCTTAAAACAGCGGGGGGGTTGGGGGGGGCGCAGCCCCCCCCATTTGCAGAGACAACGTTCACATGATGGGCTTCGAAAACACTCTTTGAATCAAGCTTGCACGTCTCGAAAAGCGCGGCGGCGGGTGTTTTGTTCTTCCGTGCCTGTTCGTGTCTCTTCTTCCGTTAGCATTCTAACCTAATATATATATATATATATAACATAGTAAACCAGAAGAACGACATAAGATGGTTCGACAACACAAAAATGGTGTGACATTTTCTGACATAACAGAACCTTGCTTCTTATAGCATATAATAGCATACTAAAAATACAACAATACAATATATCGGAAGATGACATAGAACAAAACAACATCTTAGTTTATAGTGTAGCACATTGTAACATAGTACAATACAGTGTGTATATTTACAACATATTATGTAGTATATTTTATAACATTAGGTTACATTATGTTATATTATGTTACGGTACATTACGATATTATGGTAAATTCGATTGGACTATGTAGTATCCTGTTGCTCGTATCTTTGTTTCTGTGATTATTTCATATTCTTTCTCTTTCGTCTTTTCCAACTTTGCTTTTTTATTATGGACTTTCTTTCTTTCGCTCGTTCATTGCTATTCTTTCTTTCTGTTGTTCTTTCTTTGTTCGTCTCATACTCCCTTCCTTTCTTTCTTGCTTTCTTTCTGGTTTGATTTATTTCGTTCTTTCTTTGGCTCGTTCTTTCTTTCGTTCTTGCTTTCGTTCTTTCTTTCGTTTTTGCTTTCGTTCTTTCGTTCGCTCTCTCGTTCTATCTTTCTTTCTTTCTGTTTTCCTTTCCTTCGTCCTCTTTAGATACAGCAATTTTTGAATTTTTCCCAGGGGGAAGCACTGTTTTCATACGGATTCGTTTTCAGTTCCTGAGGATTTGCTCGGTTTTTTGCTCGCGAAAACACGATTGTCCTACGGATTCCGTGGTATTTCCTTAAGTTTATTTCTCTAGTTCTTGCTTTCGTTCTTCCTCTTGTTTTTGCTTTCGTTCTTTCGTTCTCTCTCTCTCGTTCTTTCTTTATTTCTGTCTTTCTTTCTTGCTTTTTAGATACAGCAGTTCTTGAATTTTTAAAGCACAATGAAGCGATAGTCTTACGTATCGTTCTTATTTATTTTCCGCGTCTTTCTTGTTCCTTTAACTATTTCTGTTTTTCTTTCTTAATTTATGGCCTTCCGTCTTTCGTTATTTCTCTGTTTTTGTTCTTTGGTTATTTCTTCATTGTTTGTTTTGTTTTTGTTTCTAACTCTCTTTGGTTCTTTCCTTGTGTTTTTTTCTTTCCTTATAGCTTGCTTTATTTACTTAGTTCTCTATTTTTGTTCTCTTTCTTTACATGTAGCTTTCTTTATTTACTTATTTCTCTATTTCTTGCATGGCTTTCTTTCTGTATTTCTTTATTTCTTTCTTTCTTTCTTTTGTTCTTTATTTCTTTCTTTCTTTCGTTGTTTTTTTTGTTTAGTTCGTTCTTTCTTTCGTTCTTTCTTTCTTTCTTCCTTGCTTTCTTTCTTCCTTCCTTTCTTTCTTTCTTTCGTTCTTTCTTTCCTTCTCTCTCTCTCTCTCTCTCTGTCTTTCTTTCCTTCCTTTTTCCCCTTCCTTTCGCGGATACCCGTTTAATTTTTTGATCCTTATTTAATTTTTTTGATCCTTATTTAATTTTTTTTGATCCTTACTTAATTTGTTAACACCTATCCCTTTCTTGATTTGTTGTTTGTTCTTTCTTGTTTCTTGTTAGTTGTTTGTTGTTAGTTGTGCTAGTTATTTAGTTGTTTGTTGTTAGTTGTTTGCAGTTTTGAGGGTTCAGGGGTACAGGACCAGGAGAGACCAGGGGACCAGGGAACCAGGGACCAGGGGACGACCAAAGGACCAGGGGACCAGGGACCATGGGACCAGACCTAGCAAGGCCCCCCAGACCAGGCCAGACCTAGGAAAAAAAAAACAGTGGACCCCTTCAAGGCCTAAGCATATAAACTATATGGGTATCATACCCTAAACACTATAGAATCCTTTTAGAACCCTTTAAAGGAACCCTATTATAAGAACCAGCTCGTCGCGCCTTTTGGAAGGCGTACTCGTGGTCGAGCTCCCATGGTTCTACGACAACTTGAAGGCAGTTACCATCCAACTCGAGGCCTCAAAGTAGGGCTCCGTTAAGGGCTTCCTTTGAAGGTTCCTTTAAGGGTTCCTTTGAAGGGTTCCTTTGAAGGGCTCCTTTGAAGGGCTTTCGTTTGAGGGTTGCTTCCAGGGCACATTGTTTAAGGGTTCTTTTCAGGGTTCTGCTGAGGGTTTCAAGAGGGTTGCCATGGAACTCCATGCCTCAAAACGAGCGGAGGGTCTTTTAGGCGTTCTTTGAAGGGTTCGCTGAGGATTTCCATCGAACTTGCGGCCCGAAACAAAACAGGTATGTACGCTGGAAGTATATGCAAGCAAACGAGTAAACATAGCACTCGTAATTCTCATGCATGTCGACATGCACTTGTAGAAATTTCTGCATGTATACCTTGGCACATGATGACGTATGTACGTATGTATGTCTGTGAGGCTAAGTATCCAAGTGTGTATTTATGTGACTTTTGACTTATGATATTACATTACCGTGCAATACAAGTATGTCTGTATATATATATATATATGTATAGAGAGAGATATACTTATGTAGTTATACACATGAACTCACAAATGCAGACATATGTGCCAGAACTTTCTAATGATTAGGGTGTGCTTGTATGTACATATGAACCCTGCCCGCAGCTGAAAGTATCAGTCCTGAAAACATGTACGTGCAACCCCCCATCGCCATCACTCCAGAAGCTCAGCCCCGATAATAAACCGTAAACCGTATACTAATATACCGCTATCAGCTCAAAACATTGTTCCCCCACAATAGAGGCAAACACAGGCTTACTTCCCCAATAAGACACAGAAGTGAAAGGTTAAACCTTCCGATTCCTACTAAACTACAAGAACCCCAAACAGTTTAAAGGTTGAGTATTGGGGATCTAAGTATAGCTCCCTTCAAGGAACCCTTGTAGACCCCTTTAAAGGAACCCTAAAAACCCTTGTAGATCCCTTTAAGGGAACCCTAAAAAAACCTATAGAACCCAAGGATCCCATACTGGGGATCTAAGTAGAGGCGAACACAGGACCCTAACCCAGCCCAGAACCTCAATCCGGCTCGACGCCGCCTTTCAAGCCGAGGCGCCTCTATCTTCGTGCGCCAGGCGCACCACGTAGGAGCCTCCAGGTAACCGGGCCCCTAAGCGCTTCATTCTAGAAGCTTCAATTCAAAGAGCCGGTAATATAGGCGCCTTCATAATTAGAATAGGGCTTTGGGATATATTCAACTGAAGTCATATTAAGGACCCCCCCCCCCCCCCCCCCCCACAATAATAATATTTGTAAGTATTTAGGCCCCTACATTACACAGGGTTCGGGGTCGACCCAAGGAAGAGCCCCTCCTTGCACAATCTACATAAATGCTGGGTGACGGGGTTACATAACATATGACTGTGAAGCTACTATTTACCCAAAAGGTAATAAGATGTACTTCCCTGATCAAAATCCGAATAGTATTTCCGAATCTAGAAACCCTACACTCTACTATCCATAAGGCTCCATAACACATACAGTATATACTGAGGCCTTAAAGTACCTATGTAGGGACCCAACTTAAGAGCTAAGCATCTACTATAAAGATACATGGAGCCTTTGGGTTAAGGAACTGGCGTCCTGGGAGCTCACGGTGCGTAGTTCTCTAAGTTGGGTCCTGTTCTAGGTCACCCAAATAGTACGGCACCCGCATAAACAAGACCCTACAAGGAACCCGAAAAAAAAAACTACCTCCGAATTCTTGAGCATTTAGTAGGAGCCAAATTGCAAGGTCCTAAGCAGCATAGGGGCCTTAAATTATCAGAGAAGGGTTTTAGGTTGTACTATACTATCGTTGTACATACATATATGTATATGGGTGGTTGTCAAAATTGTGGTCCCTTTTTGGGCACCTTAAATATTACGTGCCGTATTCCAATAAGGGCCCCAAAAGAGACCCTAATATTGTCAACCACCCATATAGACTTACTTGAACTTCTACCTATGATCGTTGGAGTTGACGCTGTTAATCTAATTTTGACCAGTCTTGGCACAGCTAGTTCATGTGAACTCGCATTAGAAGGAGCCGCGCTTTGCACGTTCCATGAAGAGGGGCAGTCGGGACACCTACTCCAAGGGCCTAAATAATTAGAACAGGGTTTTGGGGCCCCTTATACTACCACAATCATTATAAGGAACCCCAAATAGTAAAGGTAATTAAAGCCCTTACATTACCTTGACGATCCTTCTATATCACGGCGCTGCCAGACCTGAAACCATAAATCCCACGTAAAGATGCCAAAACTGCAAAACCCAAACCGCCCTGTAGGACTTTGAAATGTCTATAATTGATGTATCCCAAAGCCTTCCGTTTCCTGCTTGTCGAGTATCATGGGGAACTAGAGGTTACCCTCTTTGGGTATATAGGGATTATATAGGGACTATACTACCCAAAAAAGGTTAAAGGTTACTGGGCCCTAAACCCCCAAACCCTATAGATCCCGTTAAAGGAAGCCTTATAGATCCCTTTAAAGTAGCCCATAAGTGTCTTTCTCCCTAAACTTAAGCTCCACGGCCCGGCCCCCTCCCCCTCTGTCCTGGTGGGGACTGCCGCAACAGCTCCTCCTTGGTCAAATTCCACAGCTCGGTTTCGGGCTTAGATTTACCACGGTTTAGGGTTTAGGGGGGCTTAGGTTTACCCTAAGGGTCCACGTAATCCTCATTGTAGGACTTTCTGGGTGTTTTGGGTACCAAATACCATAAGGACTACTTGGACCCTTAGGGTTAGGGTTTTAGGCTTAGGGTTTCGACGCTCACACTTCGCACGAGCCAGCCAATGCTCCACATAGTCCACCCTATCTCAGGTTTAGGGTTTACGCTCTCGCAACTCGGACAAGCCAGACGAGGTTCTTGGTGCTAAGTCGGCGGAAGGAAAGACTAAGAGGCTCACCCGATAGCCGAAAGAACAACAGCTCAACAGAAGGTAAGGCCACGTAGGACCGGCTCTCGGGCGGGCTGAGAGAAGACTCCCCATATTAGAGGAGGGAGGTACTCGAGGCATCCCCGAAATAGAAGACAGTCAAAACCAAGGTAGTGCCACAGAGGACGGAATGCCTGGGAGCCTCCAAACTAGAGTACAGCAAAGGTTGAAATCGCAAGGACAGTATAGTATACAGATGAAACCTATACAATTGGAGCGTGAAACCAGCTAGAATGCAGAAAGTAGGCGATTTCCGGAATTACTTGTGTGTCTGGACAGGCATGCAAAAAGAACTATACACGACGCTACCCACGGAACTCACTGCAGCGTTCACTTGAGGACGAACGTGTGCCAGTCGGGTCTGCCCAGTTCTGTAGGGCTGGTGCGAGCCAGGAACTGACTCCACTCACGACTTCCCACATCTGGCAGCGTTCACGTTAGAAGTGAGCACATTCTCGAGCCAGACGACCCTCTCCGACATAGGCATGGGAAGTAGCACATGGGAAGTAGCATACTGCGCTGTAGCAGGAAGAGAGCTCGGTTCAGCGAGGTCCAGTACCAAACAGTACCAAACACGAGGGAAGCAGGAGTTCCCCGTCCCCCGGCACATGTCGAGAGCTCGACCCCGGCGTAAGAAAGCTTCCTTGAAAGTCTCAGCCACCATGTGGTTGCGGACCATGTACCAGACAGCTTGCTTTGGGCTAACCCAGAGAGAAACTCACAGCCCATGCAGGAAAGGCGGATCCGGTAGAGGATCACTTCCATGAAGTATTCGTGGAGTCCGGCATCTACAGAAAACGACACTCCTGCCGTATCTGTCGAGTCTCAGAGTGCGCATTGACGGGATGCAGTTTCCAGGGGCAGCCGAGTCAGACGCCGAGCCAGAGAACGCGTTGACGAGAGAGCATCTGCAAGCCGCGTGACAGTCACACCATGACGAGATCCATGGCGGACCGCAGAGGCGCGGGTTCGTGGTTTGCCCTAAGGGGCCTAACGTAAAGGGAAGTACGGGAGTAGGGTTGAGGGTGTCGGTTGTGAGAGGTGTATAGTTAAAGGGAAAGAGGGGGAAAGGACTGACCGACGAACGTGACCACAGGCACAGACATCATCAGGGCATCATCACCAGGAGGCAAAAGGCAAGGACAGCAGGGGCATGCATCAGTGCGGGCAGCAAGGAAAAAACAGTCCGGCAGAAGCAAAAAGCAGTCCAGCACAGTGCTACAAAGGCACGAATTCGCAGTACCATGCAGCCAAGGCGCCAGAGACCTATGTGCGAAACGCACGGCAATCCCAAAACAAACCCAGGAAAGAGCAACCTTCCGAAAAAGCCGACTTGGAAAGAACCGTCCTCATCCGTACAGGCCTTCAATGGGGGCTGGGTTTAGAATAAGGCCCCAACAGGGGAGGTGTATACGCAGTTGATGCCAAACGATTGCTTCAGCTGTGCAGTCTAGACGACCCCAGGCGTCCATTACAGAGTCCTCAAGAAACCTAGCATCTTCACGAGAACAGTAGGTTGTAAGGGGTAAGGGATGAGCTGCTCGCGGGAAGTCTGAGACAACAGCATCCAGAGAGTCCAGATAAACCCAAAGATCAAAGACACGATTGTAATACCAATGCCAGGCTTTCTTATACTCTCGGATGATGTATCTCAGCTCTCCCGCAGTCCAGCATGCAAGGTGCGACGGCATCTGCTGCAGGGCCGAGGCTATCTCTTGGGCAGCTAGCGGGAGAAAGGGTTTGAGGTGCCCCGGTTGAACAATCTCCAGGTGATCATCCTCCATCTTGCACGGAGAACAGAAACTACTGGCTTGAACCTCGGGAAAACTCAAACAACCAATGTGGCATCTTCCTCAAGTGAGTCAACAACTTCGATGACCTCATGAGTATCCCGCTGCGCAACAGAAAGTTTCAGGGCATCCGGTAAGTTAAGCTGCCGCAGGCGTGGCTGGGAGCAATAGCTGCACCCGAAAAGGGAGCGTTTAATAGCCCCTTCAGAAGGTATAGGAAATCCTAGGTGTAGTAAGGAATGGCGCACTTCCTCCGATAAATTGCCACAGTGTATGGAGGCGAAGGTGATTAGTGTTACTCTTTGGGTAGGGTCTGTAGAGGGCAGAACATAACCAGCATGTAGTCTTTTTCTAGCATCAAAGATCTTCGGCTGTTGAAGGTTAAAGATTGTCCCCCTAAGTTCACACCCCCGAAAAGGCAGAATCGTAGACCCGGCTGGATCTTGCAACCAAAGACCTTCACCTTCAGGACACGGGGTGAGGCAAAGTATACTACTAGGGGTAGGACCATTACGATAGTCACGATGAACCTGGGACATGACACCACGTCGAATGACAAAAGTAGAGTATAAGTGAGTAGGACAGGTTCGCGCCATGAACTTGTTTACTACCATACTCATAAAAGGCATCTCGGTGCTGTGTGTCAAGCCTGAATCGGGACATCGGGGAGAGGCTCCACTGACTAGGTGGCATCCTGCTGGGGTGGTTTTGAGGTGGGACCTAGGCATCATACAGAAAAGATCCAGGACATCCTGCTTACTAGGATACTGAGGGGCCATGAGAAGTTTATATGCCCGGATTTCCAGGGGTCGTAGCAAAGGACTTGGGTGGAAATCATGACAAGCAATGTACCAGGGTTCAGAGGAACTACGTCGGGGCGTATGTAGGTCATCGTCCCTAATAGTACGCTGGGAGCCTTGCTCGGGGATTCCGCTACCGATGTGCTGGGAACCTTTCTGGCTAACAAGGTCTGTGTCAATCTGTGTTGATGACAACGACAATGTATCATCAAGATCAAACACCTGCGACGCACATCGGGTCCTAGGCGAGTCAGGAATGCAGATCGGGACTGCAGGGGAAAGGGCTAGCTTACCGGATGGCCACATCATGAGGTCGCTCTGAGCCGGGATACTACAGAGTTCTTCCAAAATCAGGACGGGATACATGAAGAAGGTTGCGAAAGTGCATATATGCAAGAAGCAATGACCCCTGTTTTGCATCCAACAGGTGTGCTGCCGTAGTCTTGCTCCTGGATTGAGAGGGGAGCACAACTGCATTAAGGCCGGCATCATGCATAGAAACAGTTCCGAAGGTTCGTGCAAACAGGTTGCTGGCAGGCGTCAACATTATGGACCAACCGTGAGGCTGGCCATATCCAAGATCGCAGAATGCAACGAATTAGTGCAGAAAAGGCAGTCCGGCAAGGAAAGGAAAACAGTCCAGCATGAATTCAACAGCAAGGGCATGCAGCAAGTGAAGACAGTCCGGCAAAAGGTCATGCAAGGAGATCGGACTAGTATACAAAAACACTCGTAGAACACGTACAATAGTAAGTCAGTAAGAGAAAGGAAAGTTTGACCTCAGGCAGGAAAATCAACTTGCTGATGTCTCGGACCAGCTACCTAGCGCAGCGGAATGTTGAGGCTGCGGCCATCGGGATTTACGGTAATCCCTTCAGTGCTGCCCAGAGGCAGTGCTTGCTGTAGGTTCACACGCTGGCGAGCATCATAGTGAGGCGCCGGCGGGATGTCCTGGTGCGGGTGGAACGTCGGGGCCCTGTAGGTGGGCGGGCTGTGTGCCACCACAGGCCTTTCGCACATCTCCTTGATGCTGTGCACCTCCTCACTGGTGGAAGCAAGCGACTGCTTCAAGTCCGCTACCTCACCCTGGGTGAAGTTCAAGGCCGCCAGTATTTCCGAGGCGATCCCCTCGAGTTTCTGGTTGTAAACCTGAGAGGAGTTGAAGTCAGTATTGGTGATCTTCTTGAGCACCTCCTTGATGCCATCCACCAGCTTGGCTTCCGTGCTGGTGAGCCATTGTCCCTGCTCGGCATGGAACTCCTTGGCTTCCTGCTGGGCATCCTCGCGATGTCCGCGGACATTCGAGGAGATCGTGCTGAGAAGCTTTAAGTTCTCCTTGAAACCGACATCGACAGCTTTCTGTGTGCTGTCCGTGTTGGCCGCCATAGGTCCGAGCTTTCCTGCCAGAGTACCTAGGATCTTCTCGATCGACGCCACGCGGGCAGGGAGGTCGTGCAGAGCCCCAATAGACGCTTTGAGCTCACTGACCGTGGCAATGAGCCCTTTCAAGTCGACATGGGACATCTTGACATCGCCGTGCATTGTGCTCATAGCTGTCATGAGCTGCTGTGCCGTGATCGGTGGGGCCGAAGCCGCCTTGCTGGGTGTCGCAGTCGCCGGCGTGGTAGGCCCCAAAGACTTGGGTGTGGCCGTGGTGGAGATCTGGCCACCTTTTGGCACCGAAGTATCCGGAGCTGTAGTGCTTGGAGCCTGCTTGGGATCTGCAGAGTCCGTAGAAGTCGCACTCGGAGCTGGGCCACCATCACCTGCAGCACCATCAGCAGGAGTGGAGGGCGGTGTTGCCTGGGGAACACTCTGCACAGCCGGCGCGGCATCACTCTTGGGCGACTCGAGGATCGTAGTCTTGTCAACCCCTGACTTGGGCACGCTGTCCACTGGTTGGTCCACATCCGGCGGAGCGGAGGGATGTTCCTGCTGTGCAGTAGGCCTCGAGCGTGCAGGAGTCCTCCACATTGACAGGAAACCCTGGGCAGCAAAGACCAAAATCACCGTATAGACCACTGTCTTGACTTGGTCATTAGGCATCCACCAGGCTGACTCAGTCGCGAAAACTTGTCCCAGAGTGAAGTCTGCCATGGCAGCGGAGGCAAACAAAACTACGGAAACTAAGAGCTCGGCGCGGCAGTTGCTGCGGCGGCAGAGAACTGGAAGGTTTTAGCGTCCGCCCTGCCCCCCCCCCCTTTTCACAAGACAAGTGAGCAAAGTATGCATGTTGTATGTTTCAGGTTCCCACATGCATAATGTCCTGAAGCTCAGAGAAAAAGCGGACGTTCCTAAAGTCAGAGGTACGAACTAGGAATTTAAAGGGATGTGGGAAGGGTCCTGATACTGACAGTAAGGTAGTCTGGATCCAAGGTGGGGGTTTGGGAGGCTGCAGAAGGCACAAATGTAAGAGATCAATGGCGGTTTCGAGTCGTTCCAATCTCTGAACCTCAGCAAGTTTACAGAGAGGCACTCGATGGGCCCAGATATGAGAGCCAAAGGCTAACACAGGGACGAAAAAGTTGCACCTAGAGTCAAGAAGCTCGGGTAATGCAGAGTAAAGCTTGAGAATCATATCCCACAGGAGAAGCCTTCTATCAAGGAGGTCCTCGGGGCTACGTCCCTGCAGTAGAATTTGTTGTCGGGAGGATTGGTAAGGCGGGACAACGATTAGGGAAACGGCTAAATTATCAAACTGCAACCACACAAACCAGGAGGATCGCGACGGTTGACCGACGAGAAGTTTCTGTACCTGACGTCCGTAAGGCAATTCAGGGAACAACCTGGCAGGACGCAAGATTGCTAGCTCGTTTCCAACCAACAGAAGTTGACGATCATGGAGACAAACATCCTGAGAAAGTTCGCAACCTTCAGTGCGACCCCAATAGGCTAACCAAGGTTGACAAGCAGCTTGCCAGGCTACTCTGTCCAAAGCGAGGATTTCGACAGCAGGAAATGGGGATCGGTTGCGAAAGTTGGTCCAGGCCTTCTGAAGTTTGCGGGGGAAACAATCCTGTACGACAATCTTAGGTAACTGGGGTCTACCAACGAGACTGGTGTTGCACGTGCGGAGAACCTGCTGAAGTGGCAAATCGTGGGTGGTGCGGAAAATATGACCCCAAAAAGACCAAATACGAATCAACCACAGCCGAGACCAAGATTCCGAACGGTGATCCTGGCAGATGATTTTGACGGAACGTCTCCTACTTAAGGTGTTCTCGAGGAAAGGGAGGAGGGGATCAAAATCAATGCGCAAAAGGGACAACAGAAGGGTATGCTTAAACGCATCAATGCTACGGAGTGCTCGTTGAGACGGCCAGGCTACCGGGGCACACCAAGACCATTTCGAGGTGAGGTAGCTACGAAACAGCTCGAGTTTAGTGGCAACAGGAGTACTAGGATGATCAAAAAGTCTCCGCAAACCAAAAAAGGAGGAAGAGACCTTTGCAAGGGAGATGCCGAGCTGACCTAAGGGGGTGCATTTATGGGAGAGGGGCACCCCCAAATATACCAAGGATTCGGATCCTGCTAAGGGGGTTGCACTACGAAAGGGCCATACTCCCGGGCATGACCCGTTGTCGTCATGCAAGACGGCACATTTGGCCGTATTGATGCGGAGACCAATGGCAGACAAACACTGCTGCAAATCGTGAAGCTTACTCTGTAGATCTTCCGCTGAGCATCCCAAAACTAGAATATCGTCTGCATATAGCAACAAATGCGGTAAGCTAAAACGCCGAAAGGTCGGATGCTCCGAAAGCGCCCATCTGGTTGAAAGACCCGACACAAAGTAATCCAACACCCTCGAAAAGATATCCGCGGAAAAGGATGTGCCCTGAAGGACCCCGCGTTCAAGACGCTGAGACCACGCGGTGGTGCCGAGTTGCATATCGACAAAGGTGTTGCGGCAAAGCTTCCACAGAGCGGAGGCTTCAGCTGACGGCTTAGTCTCAAGCAGGAATCGTAGTAGGGCATGATGACTTAATGTGTCGAAGGCTTGCGAGATGTCAAGCTTCATCATATGAAGGCCCTTGCCCTCGGCTCCCCGAAAAAGTTTCATACAGGTTTGGGCACAGGCGACTGCTTCGAGGCTCTGAACGCCTTTCCTGCACGCATGTTGCCCAGAACGATAAGGAGGAAAGGACGGTTGCAGGCGGGTAATAAGAATACGCGTAAAAATCTTACACAAACAGGGCGTAAGCGAAATCGGCCGTAGATCTTGGGGCTTACACGGGCGGGGAATTTTAGGGAGGAAACAGAGTTTGCCCCGGGTCCACGCGGGGGGAATCGGTTGTTGCCCAGATAGGACCGCATTGAAATATGCAACGAGTTTGCCGTTCGGGTCTTGAGTAAAGAACTGTCGTACCGCCGAGTAGCAAACTGCATCCTGTCCAGAAGACGTGTTGGGACGAGCATGAGCTAGGGCTTCCTTGACCTCTTCAGTAGTAATGGGGACATGATTAACATCGTGTCGGGAAAGAAGGGCCTGAATCTGCTCCGGTGAAACTTCTGCCTCTCCAGGAGGCAGCTCATATTTACGACGGTAGAAGGCTTGCATGTCATGAACAGCTTTGTCTTGGCCTCCAAGTCGCTCAATGAAACTACCCTCAGAGAAGGTTTGCGAAGCACTCCGACGCAGATGCGTAATAGCCCCTCGATCACCAGCACGTGCATCAGCTAAGAGCTGCAACTTATGTTCCCGCTGGGCTACAATGCGAGCATCATATATGTCGCGGACTAGTTGTGCCCTTTCTCCTGCATCCGCAGCAACCTTACGTTGCCTGATAAGTTCTCGGACATGGGGTGGGTCGGAGTATTTACGGGTGGGGAGTCGGGAAGAGTGCTCCGAACACAAGGCTCCAAAAGAATCCTGAGAAAAGACGAAATCTGGGTCCCGAGCAGCAGAGGACAGCGCATCAGGGGACGTAAACCATCTACCACACAAATGTTTGGGTCTGGGGGGACGTTCTTGAAGGCATGTACGGCCTACAAAACAACCCACGACTGGAGTGTGGTCTGAAGGTAAAGCTTGCATCAGATCTCTACGAAGGTGGTATGACGGCTCGACACCAGGCCACCGGTGGAAGACCCAGTCAATCGAGCTACGTTCATTGCGAGCTTCCCAAGTATGACCCAAAACGGGATTGAATTCCAGTCCTCGATGTCGTGTAAGAAACAAAAGGCGTGACAGTCCGGCAAAGGTTGAATTCGGCAAGGTTAAATTCTGATTACAGTCCATGCCTAAGAGAATGCAATCACAAAAACGGGCCTGGCTGAGGATCTCGTCAAGACGAGCAATAGAGGAAAGCCAAGTTTCTGTGGCATCACTACGTTTCTGGTGGGGGAAATGACCTGTGCCAAGAAACAAACGACGGCCAAAAGCTGTGCACTCGAGAACGAAACCTACTCCAAAGGAAAGGCGAGACAATACCCTCAAGTCAATCTTATCCCAAAACAGAAGGCCTGTCGAATGGTGACTAAGGGGTGCCTGGTGTACGATAATAGTGCATGATTGTCCAGCCAGATCTAGGTGTTCCATACGGAAGTCACCTGAAGGCAAATCAGAGAAACCGCCTAATTCCTGCAGGCAGAGGAAGTCCCAGGGATCTTCCGTTGAGTCAAGAAGGGTTTTAATTTGATGCAAAGATTTACCATGGAGATTCCAGGTAGTGGCACTGAATTCATGTATCGGCTTCGCCCTGCGGGCCTGGCGAGAAAGTCTCGTTGCTTTGGCTGTTGTAGTGGCTGCTAGTCACGCAGTTAACTCAGCTTCAATGGTGTCTTGATTACGGGGGAGAACCCGGCTGAGAATGCAAAGATCGGCCCACCAACCTGATTCGTTACCCTGCGAGTCGTTCAGAAGGAGGGAGCCATCATGTGGCTTGTGTTGACTGACGTGAAAGATCACCTGTTCACCTCGAATCCAAAGTTTGCCTTTCCAGTCAAGGTCAATAAAGATGGAGTTAATGTGTTGTGCACAATACTCTTTGATCCCCACAAGTGCCCTAATTTTGGCTCGTTCTTCTTTACTACGATTGCGGGAAGCCCAAAGCTTGGAACCCGACTGATTGGCCAGTTGACTCATGGGATTCGCCTGAAGGTGTTGTTTGAGCGCTTTCAAGGTCAGAGTCTGAACATTCCTACGTTCGGCTAGTCTATCCGATCCAAACTGCAGCTCAATACGTGCAAAGTTACTGCGAATGAAGGGGACGTGGATAGCTTTCAGCAAAGGGGAGGCTTCCAACACGGAGAACAAGCGACGCACTTCCTGTTCGATGTCACTACGTCGTGCTTCCCTCCATCCACCAATGACGAGTTGTAAGTCGTCGATGATGGGCTGTCCACCAGAGCCCGCTGTGGTGCTACGGGGACTGGAAGTACCTGGAAGGCCACGGTGTGGCCCTGGGCTGATTGAACGGCCCGCTTTGAGGTCACGCATCTCACCTTCCATTTCGTCAAGGCGCGCTTGAAATCGCTTCTGCAAATCCGCCATCTCCTGTTGTCGATGGTCAAAAGAGGCCATGCGTTCCGTGACCTGGTTAATACTAGCAGTATGGGAGCGCAGTTCTTGCATCATCTCCCTCTGTCCACCCTGAAAGAGATCCCGAATTTCTGAAACCCAAGATGGAACGCCAGGACCCTGATCCAAGTGATAAAACTCCGTCCCGGGTCCTGAGGGGGTCTCCCCTGTGTTCAGCGGCGGGGGAATTCCCCCTCCGAAGACGGGAGGTTCACGAAGTCCCGGAGAGGATCCAAGTCCCGAGGGGACTGAAGGGAGGCTCCCGGATTGCTTGGTACGTTCATCCGAGGTTTTGAAACGTTTGTCAGGGCTAGTGTGCTTGCTCAGATTGTTCTTCTTAACACCACCTAGGCCCTTGGAGGCTGGCTTGGTTTTCTGAACAGGCGATGAATTCTGAGCAGCAGCAGCGGCAGCCTGGTAAGGGTTCAGTCCAGCATCAGAAAGATCTGCAGTGGCAGCGGCAAGGGCAGCAGCAGCGGCAGCAAGATCTTCGGCACTGGGAACACTCCCTGAATTCGCAGCATGCAAAGGACTCTCATCTTCATCCCTAGCACCCATCCGTGCGTCATCAGTTGCATCACCCATCGACGAAAGACTTGACGAGAGAGAGGAGGTGGATGAACTGCTCACGGGAGGGGGAGGGTGCACTACCCACTAGTTTTCTCGAGCCGACACTTGAGCCAAAATGGCTTGAGCCAAAATGGCTACGGGGTTCAGGCTTCAGGGTTGGATTGCTTGTGTTACTATGGTCGCTGCCGCCCTTTTGAGTTCTACGACTCAGACTTTAACAGATTACCTCCTAACTTTGGGTTCGACTCTTCCTTCTTGCGAAAGAGGCAAGGAGCCTTGGAGGTTCGAACTTGGGGATTTAGGGGTGTAGGCAAGGCCGTTGTGGTGCTTAGGGCTTGGGGCTGGGGCCAACGTTCTTGCAAAGACGAGGATGTCTATTTCGTTTGGACCGGAACATGGGTAAGGGATTTCAAGGTACCAGGTTGTGGACCAAGACCAATGTATGTACAGACTAACAAGCACACCCAGCCAACAAGTGGCGTACAAGCACCTTAAAGTTCTCCTTGAGGCAAAATCAGGACTTTGAGTGCGCTATAGTAATCCTGATTTCACGGCGTCATATTGAAAAATGATGAGGTAATGTACTGAAACCATGATGCCGCTTGGCCAGCGCAAGACACGGCAAATGAGCAGGCAGGCCCTCTGACGGACCCAGAGTGTGCACACGAGAAAATCCGAGTGCAAGACGGAGGAGTGGAACGACAAACCGGTGGCTGAAGCAAACGCATGTACAGTACGTCCGAGCAAGCTCCTGGATCCTAAACCCTACATGAACCCCAAACAACCCGCCTTAAAACTTAGCAATGAGGACTTCTATTTAGGGGATGAGCACCCTTGCCCCGAAAAGGGTTGACCTTTTCAATGACGGTAAGGTTATATATGAACCCCAAAAGGTTACAAACATATTACCTATATTCAGCTACTAAGAGCCCCTTATTGAACTCCTATCAATCCTTTGAAGGAACCCCCATAGCACACTAAACCCTTCCCCGGGGGCTCCACGTACCCCTGGAGTTTATACTTAGGCCTTGAAGTACCTATATAGGGACCCCTTTAATTAAGGCTGAAGTATCTACTATAAAGGTCCATGGAGCAAAACAGAGCCCAGCCATCGAACCCTGAGGGCGTGAAGTTCTGGACCCCGCACCGAAGATTAGGAAAATCACGATGTAGGGTTTAGGGTTACATTACTGAATACAAGGCTAAAGCAATACTACGGTTGATGATATAAATCCTGCATTACCTTAAGGACCCTAAACTATGGGAATTATGGTATATTCCTTATTATGGGTCATGCAGGATTTATATCATCAACCGTAGTGCAATGGGCGTTTTTTTGGCTTGAAGGAGCCTTGGGGTCTTGATAGGGCTTGGGCACTTTAGGGTTCGGGCTTGGGTTGGCACTTCAAGAACCCAGAGCCTCCAAAATCTCTGAATTAAGGAATATACAAAAAAGATCATATTAGAGATCTTACTTTATTTTAAGGTATATTCCTTAATTTAACTAGGCGATATTGAGTCGCTGAGAACTGGCAAAGCTGCCGTCTTCGCGATGTCGGCTGCCTTCCCAGCAGGCTGCATATGCACCGGAGCACCATCGTAGTCAACCTGATCCGTCTGGTTCGTAGTAGGGAATGGGGGAATAGATCCTTATAGTAAGTAGCCCCTATAAAATCCCCAATTGTCTCCATAATCCATTCCGCCATTCCCTACTAAGAACCAGACAGTGATTGAGACGAGCTGGGGGACTGACACTTGCTGAGAGGGCTTTCTGGAGATCTGCTGAAAACTTCCTTCCCAATAAGCCACGGAAATACAAGGTTTAACTTTCTGATTCCTACTAAACTATCAGAGCCCAATAAGTCTAAAGGTTAGGTATTGGGGATCTAAGAAAAGGTGCCTGAGTCTTAAGCACGCTCTGTCTAGGCATCTTAAACGGCGGGCTGCCTTTCTACAAGTGAAGCTGCATATGCGCACACGGCCACCACAAATGCCCAAGCAGCGAAAAGGGCAGCATCCGTGTCCTCAAGTACCTAAGCTGGAGCTTTGGTTCAGCGCATTACTGGCAAAATCTCCGTGCATCGCCTGTCAACACATCGCATCTCCAACTGTAAAGCCAGGACATTCACGGTTGAACGGGCACCGACATCAAGCAACACTCCTCAGAAACTGACGTTGGCACACGAAGCACGCGACAAAGGTTTACCAATGAAAAAGCAAGAGCTCGCCCTGAAATCTTTAAGTCTGAAAAACTCAACCTTATACCTTAAGGCTCAAGTCCTAAAAGCTAGAGACTACACCTTCAACCATGAACTTCGACACCCACGTCTCGGGAATTTCAGGCACTTCGGTTGCTCCAAATACTTCCGACAGCTGCTGGGGCACGCCATACACTGCTAGCCCTGGAGGGAATGCGCGATGTCGGCTCGCCTGCAGAGATCTGAAAAACCTAGGGCTAGGGTGTACCTGTGGACCCAAAAACCTACCGTTTTAAAGGGTTCTAAACCTCTATTTAAGGGGTCATAAACTACTGTTTTGTAGGGTTTGGGGCCACAAGTAAACCCGAAACCCTAAAAGCCTTCGAAGTCCCAAACCCTTTTTGCAGCAAGCCTCGTTGTCCAGCAGCCCGGTTACAGCACCCTAAACCCTGAACCGAAACGACAGGTAGGGCTTGTGCCATCACAACTCGGACTGGCTGCATGAGGTCTCAAAATCCCTCGAGGCTGTGGGGTGTAGAGTCCGAGACTCTGATACCCCTTGATTATAAGTAAGGAATATACCTTTAATTATGGTACCTCTTGATTGTAAGTAAGGAATATACCTTTGATCACATTTGATTATGGTGGGACTGGTAGGCTCCCTCAGTGATTTCAGGAATATTGCTTAATTCAGTGGTAATTATTGGAGTCTCTGGGAAGTTTAGGGAGAGCACATACTGGTGGAAAGGTGCCGGCTCAGATTTTGGGAAAGCTGACCCTAAGCCCCTCCTCCCTCTCTCTCTCTCTCTCTCTCTCTTTCTCTCTCTCTCTCTCTCTCTCTATCTCTCTCTCTCTCTCTCTCCCAGGCACTCCCCTAAACCTGAAATCCCGAAACCCCAAAAAAACCCTAAACCCAAACCCGTGAACCTCGCCTGCGGGACACTGTGCGGAAACTCGCGGATGAGATCCTCCGCTGGCTCCTGAGGGTAAATTCCTAAGCCCTGAATCCCATCCCGAGACTTCCCGAATCACTCGCACTCGAACAAGTCAGGCGAGGTTTCGGAAGCACTAGCACTGCACCGTTGACCTTCTTTCCTTCGGCACTTTGAATCGCGATCAGCTATCAAGGTCATGTAGCGCGACCTCGGAGATTTCAGGCGTCGCCTGTCTGGCCACTTCCTCGTCACAAACTGCATCTTCGGATGGGAGAGGGCACTGTACCGAGAGGAACCAATTCGAGACTTCGGCAGTGGGGCGCTGATCACTTGGCTCACTCGGCGTCTCTTTCCGAGGCTCGGCAACGGGCGCCCCTGCCAGCTCCTTCGCCGAGCTGAGTGCGGACAGCTGCGCCAAACCTTTGCCGGACAGATTGTGTTTTACCTCCAGGACGTTCGCCACGGCGAAGACGGTGTCCTGGAACACCTCCTTGGCGTCATTCCCACAGCTGTGGCCCACAGCCTCTGCGGAAGTCTCTGCAACACCAAGTGCCACGTGGCCGGTGGCGGCTTCCACAGCTTGAAAGACCTCGGCGCCAGCTTTCAGGGAAGAGCGGCCGATGACTCGGAGATCTTCGTGCCACCGTTCGGAGTTTGCCGGCAGCTCGCGGCAGAGTTCACCGGCCGTGTGCCCAACGGCAGAAGCCAAGTGAAAGGCCAAATCCCCGGCCAAGGATGCCATGGACTGGCTCACAACTCGTGCCCCAGAAGCGACTTCTCTTGCAGCGCCGGGGACCTCAAAGCGGCCTTCGGGGAGCATCCCCCGAACATCGCAAGCCTTCAGCGACTGCGTGGCTGCCTGCGCCACGCCGAGTATCGAACCGGCCAACAGTCGACTGCCCGCCTCCAAGCTTTCTGCAGCCCATCGTGTTTCGGTCCGCGCCACCCAGCTCACATCGTGTCCCACTTGGCGCAGTACGGTGACGACATCCTCAAGTCCAGTAGATGCCTGGCTGAAGAGGACAGCGCAGAAGTAGAAGTCACTCCTGGGCTTTGAAGTAACCAGGACCAGGGAGAGAAAAGTACAGACTTTTATTTCATAATGGTTTCCTTTCAGTAACAGGTCCCGAAAAAAGTATTAAAGTATGGTACTCCAAAGCCCAGACTCTGAGCCGATGTCCCGAGCGCGCACTGTCGCACCAACTCCTGCGGCGCAGCGAAGATCAATCTCCTTGACGCGGCCAATATCCGTGCCGAGGAGGGAAGAAGAAATCGCCGAGAAGCCTCCGGTGCTCTGCTCTCGTAGCTCTCAGAGCCAAAGAAGTCGTCTTTTTCAAAGAGCAGAAGGACTGGGGCCTGCTCCCCGGGTTCCGATGCCTCGAGGCCCTCGGGAAGCCAAAGGCGCAGCGTCCCAGCCCCTAGCGAGACAGCCCGGTCGGCGAGCTCAAAAGCTCGCTCGCAAGCTTTTCGGTGAGCGCCTCCTTCACCAGAGGACGTCTTCGCGACACATACCGCGTCTGCAGGCACATTCGCTGTACCATCGTCGGGTGGGCTGTTCTCAACCTCTTCGCATGCCTCCTGTCGTGAAATAAGGAGGAAGCGGCATGCAGGGGCCGAGAAGAAAAGGCCTGGCTCATTGGCCTCCTCGCACATGTGGCCGGCTCGCCGTCTGCTGCGGCCATGTGGCAGGCCGGACCGAATCCTACTACCCCAATAAGCCACAGAAATAATGGGTTAAACTTTCCGATTCCTACTAAACTATAAGAACCCAAAAAGTTTAAAGGTTAGGTATTGGGGATCTAAGGAATCCTAAAGCCCACAATTTAAAACCAAGAGCCGGAAACTCTGCGCCTAGATCCCTTCCCTAGCTTATCGCAGCCAAGATCCACAAAACCGTGTTGGTCCAGTTGCCTTGCAACTGCCGGACCAAGAGCATTGTATTTTATGCTGTTCTGATGTTGTTTGCTTACTTATCACTGAAACGATATCTTGGGAAGTCTACCAAACATTCAAGCTTCCCTGAGCCTTGTTTGCACCTTGAGCCGTAGCCATTGGGTTGATGTTTTAGGATTTACAGGGTTTAGGGTGTAGGGGTTTAGGTTTGGGGGTGTTAGAGTTTCTGATAAGTTTCGGGAAAAATACATATAGCCTTTGCCCAAGTGAGCCCCTGTAAGGACCAACGTATGTATAACTAGCTACATGGGCTCTTCTACTCGAAGGATCCAAGACTTGGAGTACCCTCAGAGTAACCACTCCTTATTGAAGAAACCCTTCAAAGCTGCAGAACCCTAAACCCCAAAACTCAAGAGAAAACCAAGACCCAAACACTAAACCCTAAACCACTAGGCCCTAAACACCCCTAAACCGCTGAAAGCTTTAGCCCGCCCCGAACTTGGACCCGAGTCCTCTGGCATCAGCAAAGCCCCCAGGCTGAGTAGCAGCTTCGCCTCCGGGATTCAGTTGTTAGCTTGTGTTGGGTGGGTGCAGGGTTTTGAGGTTTGGGGATTTAGGGTGTAGGTACACCTTAAGCCCGAAACCGTGTTATAAGGAAGCCTTCCATACTTCAAAGTATATTCCATCCGGGGTGTTGAAGCCACCTGGCTTTTTTGGCTTGGGGGCCACGGTGAACCCCATGCATCGCACCGGGCCAGAGAAGGGGACAGAGAGAGATTAGGGTTAAGGTACTGACAACTGCAGCTACTAAGTCTCACGAACCTCCTCCAAGTAGTAAAGGCCACTTCCTGGGTCCCTGAATCTATACTGAACTTAGAACCCTAGCAACAATTACAATTATAGCTGTTTCTTAGGGACTATAATAACAAACAATAAAAAAATAATTTCTAACTACCCCTAAGGAATCAAAGTCCTCAGTCTCGAGGTGTGTTGTTCCCTCCTACTTAGCAAGGTGTGATTGCCTGATGTTAAGGTTCCCAAGAGATGAAGACCGAACGCATGACAACTTAAACATCAAAGATACCAAGGACAAGCCTTGTAGCATACTGCAGAATAGGACTGCTCCAAAATGACATGAACTGAAATTGACCCCTTACAAAACGCCTTAGAACATCTTTTCTCCAACCCCCTACACCCCACCCCGGCGCTCCAAATCGCCCAAAGTAGGTGCTACTCCTAGACTTTAGACCCCAAAGTAGTTACTTTATGGGAGTTTCCGAAAATATGGGACCCTGATATAGCACCCTAAATAGTAGGATCCAGATTATAGGGACACCAAACTAAGGTACCCCCAATTTCGGATACTCCCACATTATGCATACTTGGAGCCCTCAGCGGTAGCAACAATGACCTCATTAGCTTCCGTATCACGACCTAGCCACAATGCTTCCCTCCAAGGCAAATTCGACTTGGTGCCACTTCTGATGCCAATGACCTTCGCCTGAACATACTCTCCGAAGCAACACAATCCTGGGCCAGGCCATCCGACCTCCTTAGGTCGACCCCTGAGTTTCTTTGGCGTGCTCCGCTGGAACCAGGAGGGCACACCTCTTGGGTCTTCCGCTTTGGGGATTAGCGTTTAGAGCTCCTGTAAGGGATCTATAAGTGTTCCTATAAGGGTTCCTACAAATATGGGGATTAGGGCTGAGGGTTTTAGGGTTCAGGGGTTTAGGGGTTTAGGATTTAGGGTCACACCTCTCGGGCCTTGATGGGGGTCGGCTTGACGGCCACGCATGCTTTAGGGTTTAGGGTTTGGGAAGCTTCAGGCTTTTTGGGTTTAGGGTTTAGGGGTTTAGGGTTTGGGGGTCTTCACGCTTATTGTTGGGTTTTGGGTTTACAGGGGTTTAGGGTTTAGCGTTGTGGCTTCAGGTTGTCAGGGTTAGTGCTGCCACCCCTCGTCAGCGTCGCCTAGGTCCTGGTAAGATGATTGGTCATATCTGCTGCTGCACTGCTGCTAGTGCTGCCGTCGCTGCACAAGCCCAAGGAGCCGGTCAGCACACGCAAATCTGCTAAGCATTCTGCAGCTTTTCTTGTGCAAGCACCAGAGTCCAACGTCACCACATGTCACCACCATATTGAGCATCACCCCAGGCCACGATGTTTCCATCGCCAAGAATGGCAGCAAAAGCGCCGCCAGATGCTTGGATCTGCTGCACATTCTTCAGCTGATCCTGCACGGCACGACTGTCGCCACCATGCACAGCGTCACCCCAGCTCACGACAGATCCGTCACCAAGAATGGCAGCGAAAGCACAGTAGGAGGCTTGGATCTGATGCACGTTCTTCAGGTGGTCCTGCACAGCTCCGCTGTCTCCGCCATGGTCAGGATCACCCCAGGTCACGACCGATCCGTCACCAAGGACGGCAGCAAAAGCGCTGTAATTGGCTTGGATCTGACGCACATTCTTCAGCTGATCCTGCACAGGGCTACTGTCACCACCATTGTCAGCATGACCCCAGGTAGCGACAGATCCGTCATCAAGGATGGCAGCAAAAGCGGCAGTGGCAGCATTGCTCGAGGCTTGAATCTGCTGCACATTCTGGAGCCGATGCTGCACGGCGCTGCTGTCTCCGCCATGGTCAGCATGCCCCCAGGTCACGACCGATCCGTCGCCACGAATGGCAGCAAAAGCCTTGCTGGAGGCTTGGATCTGACGCACATCCTTCAGCTGCCCGTGCACAGCACCGCTGTTACCGGCAAAAAGGGCATCACCCCAAGTCACGACAGATCCATTCTCAAGAATGGCAGCAAAAGCACGCTCGGAGGCTTGGATCTGCTGCGTGTGTTTCAGCTGGTCCTGCACAGCACTACTGTCGCCACCATAGTCACCATGTCCCCAGGTCACGACGGAGCCATCTTTAAGGATGGCAGCAAAAGCACGCTCGGATGCTTGGATCTGCTGCACATTTTTCAGCTGTTCCTGCACAGCACTGCTGTCACCACCACAACCAGCATGGCCCCAAGTCACGACAGATCCATCACCCAAAATGGCAGCAAAAGCGACGTCAGTGGCTTGGAGGTGGTGCACATTTTTCAACTTTTCCTGCACGGCACTACTGTCAACCGCATGGTGATTACCACCCCAAGTCACGACAGAGCCGTCACCAAGAATAGCAGCAAAAGCGGAAGCAAAATGGTTGCTAGAGGCTTGGATCTGCTGCGCATTCACTGGCCGATGCTGTGTGAGACCGCCACCATCCAGTGCATCGCCCCTGCCCACTATGGCTCCGTCGCCAAGCAGGATAGCAAACCCTCTGTGGCTGCCATGTGCTTGAGCCCTGGTGACGTGCAGCATTAATGAATCACCAGTGTGCACCCCGGCATCCTTGACCGATCCGTGTGCATCCAGCACGCGCCCACATGAGTCCACCAACCGGCCCTTTCCGACTTGAAGTGCGATCTGTGCCATGTGCTGCAATGTTTCTACCGTATCATCCAAGCCACACTGCACGGCAGCTGTCGTGCCACTGAGCAATCCAACTTTCACAGTAAGCGACATGTTGCACACCACAGCTGTTCCAAGACTTTTACGATTGCCTTTCCAGACCTGCTTGCATCGCCAAGTTGGGCTATGCGATAGAACACCTCTTGCGATCAAGCATGTTACATCCTGGTACCCGCTTTCAGCACTAAGACCTTTTTTTGCCCTAAAGCAAAACTCTAAACCCTATGCAGCTTCCTAATTAGAAGAGCATTCCTGCGAAAGGGTTCTCAAAACTGGTAACTACAAGGGTTACGGTAAGGGTGTAGTATAGGGGCGTTTATAACCAGCATGGGTTTAGCGGGTATCTTATACTAGAATTATGCCAGGGAGCCCCAAAACTCGCCAGCCACCGGTTTCGAACATGTACTTGCAAGTGCGAAAACGGCAACGATTCCAATCATGTCAGCACAAGCTATTCGAAAACTGCTGAAGCAGGACATTTCTGCAGAGTCGTGGTTGCTGCCTCGGCCTGCAATTAATCTCTTCGAAACTGGAGACACGAACCCGAAACCGGAACTGTAAGTTGTACACCGTGATCCCGAAAGTGGATCCAAGAAGCCTGACTACCCGGTAGTTTCCGAAAATTAGGGGAACCTTGTTAGGGGGTCCCTATAATAAGGATCCTACTATTTAAGGTGCTATTTTAGGGTCCCCTATTTTCGGAAATCCCATCCTGACATTGATCGGCCCGAAGAACCCTAAACCCTAAACCGCAAAGGCTATAAGGGTTCGCAGACAGCTTGCCAGAACGGCTTGGGGTCTTTATGATGGTTTATAGACCCTAAACCCTAAACCCTATAGACGGTGTTTCCAGCAGTCTAAGGCTAGGCGGTTGGCGAGCTCCAGGTGCTCTTAGCCTCACCCAAGCATAACTACTATCACTACCATTCTTCCATTCCCTACTAACCACAGGTAAGTAGCTTACTGGATTATGGAAGCCTAGGGCCTTGGGCTGAATGGGCTTTGGGAGTGGGGTTTAAGGCTTAGGGCTTGGGGTTTAGGGGTTTAGGGGTTTTGGTGTTTAGGGTTTGGGGGTCTTCAGGCTTCTTGGGGTTTTGGGTTTAGGGGTGAAGGGTCTGCGATGTGAAAAGGAAATAGTTCAGGCTCCGGGTTCAGGATTGAAACTTAGAGCCCTCTGCTGCAAGCGGTTCGCTGCAACTGCCCACCCAGAGACTCCAGTACCCCCTAATTCAGGAATATGCCCTAAACTATAGT